AAAAATCCACCATTCTCCTCGGGATGAGCTAAATGAGTTCTTAACGAAGACGGAACACAGTGTGGGCCGTGTTGTGGGCCGTGTTCTCTTTCGTGCGAGTGAGAGCACGCACCGTGACCACCACACCTGCATGGCCGACTGAGCGCCATGGCATGAAGGTATGGTTAGGATTTCCGAAAGATGGGGCTGGTGAGGGGGGACTGGTGGTGGCTGGTGAAGGGGGCTGGTAAGGGGGAGCTGGTGAGGGGAGGTAGGGGAGGTGAGGGGTAAGGGAGGGGGTAATGAGAGGAAGGCTAAGGTGGGTCCCAGGCACAAAGATGTAATATATATAGAGTATGTACAACACCTCATGCCTGTGGAGAGAGAGAGAGAGAGAGAGAGAGAGAGAGAGACCGTGATTCATACAGTCATACATCCTGGTCATAACCGCCCACATTAAGTCTCACAGTGAGTCGGGTCCTTATCCACCACTTCATCACTTTCCTTAATCACAAGCATGCAAATTAAGTGGCAATAAACTTGTTTTTTATAGGAGTCTCATTAGTAGATGGTGAGCGGGGGGCAGTGACTCACCAGACAGACAGACAGCTCATCAAGTCATGGCGTGTTTCCTTTGATTCGTACAACTTCCGGAACAGCTGTGATTCCTGGCGTTGCTCTCATCCATCGGCATAGTATTCATTCCTCTTCTTCCTTCCGCCTCCCTCCCTCCCCCTCGAGATGAACTACATGACTAACATCTCAACAACAAAAACCCTCCCCTACCATAACTACGACAAACATTAACCATCAACAAATACAAAACACGAGAAAAAAAAAAAACGTAGTTTACAAAAAAATCAATCAAAATCAATCGAGTGTTGGGAGTCATAACACACGCCGTCTTGGTCAGGGAAAAGAAGGGTGACCCACAACTAGAGCCATCAGCTGCTGCGGTAGGAGGAGGTGGTGGATGACGTGTGGTGGGTGACGTGTGGTGTGGTGGGTGACGTGTGGTGGTGGTGGGTGACGTGTGGTGGTGGTGGGTGACGTATGGTGGTGTGCCTAAGCCGAGGGGTGCAAAGGAGTGAGAGGGCTAGGGACGTCGTGAATGATTTTGTTTTCAGTCAGCCAGTCAAGTCAGTCAGTCAGTCAGTCCTCTGTGCCTGGCAGGTAGTAGACTCAGGTGAAAATCATAATTTCTCCACTATCTAGCCGCCCACATGGCCAACCCACACAAACACATGTAAACACCACAGGCAAAATAAGTGTTAAAACGCATCAACTTTCTCACTTTCCCACAATCCTGCACCACCAGGGAGATGAGCTGGGAGGGAGACAGACCTAAAACTGGGAGGGAGGCAACCAAAAACTGGGAGGGAAACGACCAAAAACTGGGAGGGAGACGACCTAAAACTGGGAGGGAAACGACCAAAAACTGGGAGGGAGGCGACCAAAACTTCATAAACAGACTATAATTAATTAAACATTCACTTCATATATAATTAACTAAACATTTCATTGTCTCTCCATCATATAATCAGGGCTAATAATTATAATCACCAGCTATGTTTCTCAGACGCAGCAGTAAGAGAGACAAAGTAATAATGGCAGCTACTGAATGTGTCTCACCGCTGGACACCCCTTACCCTCCACAAAGGACTAACCTAACTTCCCCTCACCACCCAAGAATCATCAGAATACAATAAGGATTTTTTTTTACTAATTTTATATACTGTATAAACAAAGCCTACAATACACTGATACAAATATAACATAACAAATTATATAAACATGAAATAAATATAAACACAATACAATTATCATTTTAATAAAGTGTTTGTTGATAAGTGTTCATTTAACTCATACATTATGTTGTAACACTTAAGAATATAATAATAAACTACTCTCAAGTGTGTATTCATTAAGTGTATTCTCAGATCACCACCTTATTTTTCTTTTAATTAATCAGGCAGTCAGGGTCTCTGTGTTTATATACCCCCTGGGATACACCACTCAACGCCGCAACTTCCACGACCTTGTCAACAACGCTACTGACTCGCCCCGCTGCCAGACGTAGGGTTATATATATACTCCATCACATACCGCTGCCGTCCTGATCATCAATACCTCGACCTTAATCCTCTTAATGTTGCAATGGGTGAGTGACCTTTAATAACTCTCTCATCTGTCCACTGTTATTATTATTGTTTTAAATTTATATAAATTTTTCATCGCCGATATAAGGAAGTTATAATTTTAAGTAATGGTTGTTGGCGATAAGAAAACACGACGTATGTTTTGTGTCTTGGTAATTATTATTCACAGAACAGAACGGAGAAAGAATCCTGTCAACTGAGAACCCGGAAACAGAGAGAGAGAGAGAGAGAGACTGTGTGAAGACTGTACCGTACTTTGAGTCATCATTGTTCCCCCACTATTCAAGGTGTCATCTTCCCACACTACCACACGGGGGAGACGACAGCTGGTGTGGGAGTGAGCACCTCCTTCCTCCCCTAACCCACCCCCCTCACTCCCCCCCCAAAGGCCAAGAAACCTCACTAGATTGTTTATAATATATGATGATTCAAAGGAAAATTACCCTCCCCCAATGACAACAAAACAATAAAAATAAAACTCTAGGAAACACAAACACACATCCCTAAACCCTAAAGAAAAAACACAGGAAAATAAAAAAACACAGAAGAGCCACCTCCCTTCCCCCCCCACACACACACACACACCAAAAAATCCTGTTCCGAAGACGATAAAAACGCGGGAAAGACAATAACAAAAGAGAGGAGTCAAACAGAAGCAGCTTCACACACACACACACACACACACACACACACACACAAAGAGTTACAGTATGGCGATAATAACCAACTGTAACGTGATCGTCTCTGCCCCCAAGGATATCTCCTCTCCTCTCCTCCCTCTCCTTCCCTCCTAGCACAGCACAAGTACCCCTTCACCAGAGTTTTCCTCCCGGCCACTCTGCTGGGATTTTTCATAGACCAACACTGTGCCGTTAACATGATGACGTAGATATACATTATGTGAGTACCAGATAAGACGTGTTCCTCTGCCTCCCTTCCTTCCCTGTCTCCTTCCTTCCTTCCCTCCTCTTTTCTCCCTCTCTCCTTCCCTTCCTCTCTCCTCTCCCTCCCTCCAAGACAGTGACATGTGACAGTGGCATCATTAAGGGCGGCTGCCTCCTGAGCCACCGGCCACTATCATGAGGCGATGATAATAAAGCAACTTAACGAGGCATCTCTTCAGTTTCATTCATTTGGTGGTAGGATGAAGCGAAGTGTCTCTATCACATGGGTGGGGTGTAGGGGTGGGGTGGGGTGTGGTGGGTGGGGTGTAGGTGGGTGTGGGGTGTAGGTGGGGTGTAGGGGTGGAGTGTAGGTGGGTGGGAGTGTAGGTGGGTGGGTGGGGTGGGGTTGTGGGTGTGGGAGGAGGGGTGTAGGTGGGGTGTAGGTAGGATGTAAATGGGGGTGTGTGGTGTGGGTGGGGTGGGGGTTGGAGGGAGGATGGGGTGTGGAGGTGCAGATGGATGACACTAAGAGATAAAACTGGATAACAACACAGAACACACAGAGAATGTCAGCGGGCAGCAGGGAAGTTCAACACACTGCAAACATGGCCAAGCACAGTCAGGCATAAAGGTGTGGAGGGCAGGCAGGCAGTTGAGGCGATAACAGGGTGGGTCACACACACACACACACACACACACACACACACACACACACACTTCCCCCCTCACCTGTGTTACACCTCACTGGCGGCGGGCGGAACAAAAGGTTTAGGTCATCTGGCTGGCTGTAGGTCACCTGGCTCTCTCCTGGGTAACGCTTTGGGTCAGCGTGGTTCAGGGGGTCTTAACTTAATCCTGCCATTTCGATTGGTGGAATCCTCTCAGACCAGCTAGGCCTTCGACCCTACATCGATTAGGCCTGGGGCACATCAGAGCATTTACCGATCAACCATATTTTCATGTTCTCGAATTTCATTTTTTTCGTTCATATTAAGACGCTTAACAAGTGAGCGGCGGCCAAATGGATTTAGTACTCGATTCCCCTCCTAAGGATCACTGGTTCGAGCTTAAAGTATCCCCAGTTCACCACAGCTGTCTCCAGAATATTGGTTTAGTCTACACAGTGATGCAGCCTACAGTCAGGACCAGATAACACTGCTTAATTCTCAAACTTGGAACCTAATGTTTATTGACGTAAAACCAGACTTGTCTTCACCCATACTGACGCCGACTCTGGTCATCTCAAACAAAGAAATGGGTTTAGTCTTGTCCTAAACTCTGGTCTATATTGTAAAGTGTAACAACTGCAGCTCATTTTGACCTCGGAGACTTGGCCCAGCTTGAGCTAATATCCGGCACATGTGGATCTGAAATACGACCCATCTTGTTGTGAAGTGAAGGGGGCGGAAGAACAAAGGCGCCAGTAGGAGGAGGTGTGCAGGAGTGGACCATTACCCCAGTCAGCACCATAACACCATCACCTTCACACACACACATACATAAACCAGCCGCGTAACATAACTGAGAAACTCTTCCTCCTTGTCATCATCAAGCGGCCGCGGCGACATTTCCCGTTATCGTGTACCAGTGTGGTGATCGTAACAGTGTGTGTGTGTGGTGAGGCGGCCGTCGTCCCCACCATGCGTGCTCCTGCCATGCTCCGCCTCCTGCATGGCACTGTGTTGCGTGACCTACTAAAGCACAGGCCGGCTTAAGCTGAGACGAGGTGACTCCTGCCCATCCTCTCTCCCGGATGCCCCACCACCTCAGGATTCCGACAGTCATTCAGAAGTCCCTCTAGTGTCCTGACCATTAACTATACTTCCTGGTTCATGATGCAGCGATTTTCTTCACCCCCATTCATTATGTCCGTGATATAATATTTTTAACGGACGTCTCCCGCGCAAGTCGTCCATCCTTCCCACTGTACGATAACTTGGGCTTGTGGCCGGCACCACCGCTTTCTCTGGCTCTTGTCCAGTTTTTCACCAGTTGAACTTTGGACTCCGCCGTGTCTAGGCAGGACTGTCCGCTCGTCCACACGTTCAGTTGATGATAGAACCACAGACATTCAAGTGTACCAAGTGAACCAAAATTCCTTAAATTTGGAGACTATTCTAACGACGACTAAGTACATGAGGAGAACAGACCCAAAATAAATTAAATAGATCAAACTGGTAAATAATTAATGAACTTGTTAATTAAATCCTCTTAAAATCCCCGTAAAGACCTTTAACAGGAAACAGAATTCCTTAAAATACACCTCATCAACCGGCCAGTACAGTAGAGAGGTGTACTGTACTATATAGGTGTAGCAGCCACAAGCGGTGTACAATACAGATGACCCCTACAGCTCAACACTGACTAAACACCCGGGAACGACACCCAAATCTACGGTAAGTTATACACGCGTTCACTCCCATAACAGAGACGCCCTTTGATGTTCTTCAGTGTTATAACCTATCAACTTGTGACGTTCATCTGTTCATAACACTGTAAAGTTCTTTGTTGTGTTTACCTTGTTGCAGTGTGTGTGCTAGGAGTCTTTTATGTTTACTTCAATACTCCAGAGCGCCCCGTGTACACAAGACTTACACACACACACACACACTACTTCAAGGCTCAACACCCCTTGTTCTGAGAAACCAATTCAACCATGAGTGACCAAGTGAGTGAGTGACTGAGTGCAATCACGCTCCTTCTATCCCTGACGCATTCTTATACTCCAGCAAGCGGTAAAGGTCATAACAGTGTCACGCTACTATACATTCTGACACTTACAGCACTGGTTGGCGACACACACACACACACACACACACAGGTCAACGTTACCGACAATGATCAAGAACGATAAGAAAGTCGTCTAGATAGCGGGGATAGCACAGCTCTCTATCCTTACCTCAACCATCCATGATAACAAGATAGCGGGGATAACACAGGTCTCTATCCTTACCTCAACTATCCATAACAAGATAGCGGGGATAACACAGGTCTCTATCCTTACCTCAACCATCCATGATAACAAGATAGCGGGGATAACATAGCTGTCTATCCTTACCTCAACCATCCATGATAACAAGATAGCGGGGATATCACAGCTCTCTATCCTTACCTCGACCAACCAACTAAAATAATTATGTTTTGTGTAAACGTGTCAGTTGCGACGCGCCCAGCAACATGCGGAGTAAAGGGGATGATGCTAGATGCAGTACGGGAGGCAACAAGCAGGTGGAGTAATAGTAAGCAGGAGTAGGGCGTGGAACAAGTAGTAGGTGGAGTAGCAGTAAGCAGGAGTAGGGCGTGGAACAAGTAGTAGGTGAAGTAGCAGTAAGCAGGAGTAGGGCGTGAAACAAGTAGTAGGTGGCGTAGCAGTAAGCAGTAGGGCGTGGAACAAGTAGGTGGAGTAGCAGCAAGCAGGAGTAGGGCGTGGAAAAAGTAGTAGGTGGAGTAGCAGTAAGCAGGAGAGGGCGTGGAAAAAGTAGCAGGTGGAGTGGCAAGGTACTCTGTAAGCAACGAGCAGTAACACGTAGCACAAGGAAAGTAGCAGGAAGTAACGGGGGTAGTGGTTATGAGGCAGGCAGGTAGGTGATAATGGCAGGTATGAGGTAGTGTCAGACAGGTGGCAGGTGTAAATGGCAGACAGGTAGCAGGTGTAAGAGAGGTAGTAATGTTAGACAGGTGGTGGTGACAGTACTACACCATGTGGGGGGGAGGAGGATGGTGGTGTTGATGCTGTCACTGCCACCGTCTTTACCCCCCACCACACACTACCACCCACGACCACTATTACCACCATAACTACCACCACCACCACTTTCTATACGTATAGTAACCTCTACCACCAGCCAATAGTCCTAAGCCTATATACTACTACTACTACATCGTGTGCTTCTTGTTGTGGCAGAGTGTGTGTGTGTGTGTGTGTGTGTGTGTGTGTGTGTGTGTGTGTGTGTGTGTGTGTGTGTGTGTGTGTGTGTGTGTGTGAAAACAACAACGTATTATACCACGTTGAGTATATCATGGTGACATATATTAAACAGGGAGGAGGAGGGAGTGGGAGGTCATCATCTTGGGGTTACGTTTATGAGTCTATAGTGAGCCTTGGGTGAGCCTCATCTCCTCCTCCTATAGTGAACGTCATGATCTCCCCAAAACACTTAACTCTTCTCTCCTCTACTTCCACTATAACGCCATTTTTTTTTGTCCAGGGGTGAGGCAGGACGAGGATATGACCGGGGAAGGGGTGGGGGCTGGGGCGAAGGCTAAGCTTCAGGGGCTAAAATAAATAAGTAAAGGGTAAGGAGGAAAGACACGGAGACAGAGCGGGCCGAGTCCAGGACAAAGATTATGGGAGTGTAGAGGCATAAATGTGTAACGGGAGAAGACAAAGAAGGTTTAAGGAGGGTGATACAGTGACGGGGCAGGACAGGGGAAGGACGGGGCGGGGCGGGGGAATTACGGGGCGCGACTGGAAGGGTCAATGTGAGCCTTGACCGATATGGTAGTTAAACAACACAGTGGGGAAAGGGACGCTAAAAACACACACACACACACACACACACACATAACCTATACTCAAGCTGACCCACTATAGAACAGTAGTGGCGGCGGGGTCACTCTATGACTACGCCGCCGCCACCAGGAAGCTGACAAGTACCTACAGCGCCGCCACCACCAAGGATATACACAAGGATTGGGGTCCTCACAGACTTAGGTATTGGTGGTGATGGAGAGTGGGGAGAGGAGGAGTGGAGATGGGGGAGGAGAGAGGAGGGTGGAGAGAGAGGGAGGAGAGAGGAGGGGTGGAGATGGAGAGGAGGGGTGGAGATGGGGAGAGGAGGAGGAGATGGGAGATGGGAGAGGAGAGGTGAAATGGTCTCTGTCTAATCGTTATAATGTGTTCCGTGTAGTAAGTTGGTGTGTGTGTGTGTGTGTGTGTGTGTGTGTGTGTGTGTGTGTTTTATGTATCATAATGTGGGAAGTCTTTCTGATTTTAAGCGATTATCATTATTATTATCATCATTATTACGGTAATCTCAGTTAAAGCCTTGGGACTAGGGAGAGGGAGGGAAGGCGGGAGGAGGTGACATAGAGAACTACTGAGTGTTGTCTTGTGAGTCTTAGTGCATTCTCGAGGTCATGTTTAGCTCCGTCGTGTGTGTGTGTGAGGAGGACCAGTTAAGATGCTCAGGTGAAGAGAGAGTTAACAAATAGCTGAGGAATTATTTGTTTTGTTTTTAGAATTTCCGGAGACACATGAGAAGAGGAACTGATCTCAGGGTCTCTCTCTCTCTCTCTCTCTCTCTCTCTATGCCATTCGTTCCTAATCCCCTTCCCACACACACACACACTGAACGCATCTCATCTCTTGCATGTAAGCTATCAGGGCGTGTATACATAGTACTGTACACACATGTTTCCCTTCCACACACACACACACACACACACACACACACACACACACACACACACACACACACTTTCACTCTGGAAGAAGTAGTTCGCTTTACTTACGTCGTTGGGTGTGGGCGGCCAACTTGACATTCCCCCACCCACTATCTCACGCCCACACCTTCTATTTCAGTACACCCACACCCTCTGTATGACAGTATGAGTTGGCCCCACACCCTGAGTACAAGTTAATCCACACCTTGTATATAACGACCTAACCTAACCTACCTCACCCAAAACTAACCTACCTCACCCCTAAACTAACCTACCCTCACCTAACCTACCCTACCCCCACCTAAACTAACCCACCCTCACCTAACCTAACCTAACCTAAAGTAACCTACCCTCACCTAAACTAACCTACCCTCACCTAACCTACCCTACCCCCACCTAACCTAACCTACCCTCACCTAACCTAAACCTAACCTACCCTCACCCAAACACACGTGAAGTAAAATTATCTCAATATCCAATGGGAAAATAAATACAGTTAGGATTTTTTTTATACTAATCTGAGGCTTCATTAACTTCAAGGGAAGGTGGGGGAGAGGAGAAGGTGGTTTATTACTTATGTTTAAAAGGTATATCTGGTGAGGTGTTGAGTGAGCCGTGCCGGTGTTAGAGAGGGAAGGTGCCGCCAGTCATGCCCCCCCTCCTCCTTCCTTCCTTCACCCACATCCCTTCCTCCTTCCCTTAACGCCACACCCACCTCCCTCCTTCCTTCCCTTCCTACCCCATCCCCTCCTCCTAACCCCACCCCACCCCTCCTCCTTCCTTCCTTCCTTCACCCCACATCCCCCCTCCCTCCTTAACCCCACCCACCCTCCTCCTTCCTTCCCTTCCTTCACCCTCTCCCCTCTCCTTAACCCCACATCCCCCACCCTCCCTCCTTCCTTCCCTTCCTTCACCCACATCACCCTCCTCCTTCCTTCACCCACCCCACCTCCCCTTCACATCCATCCAACACACTTCATGCCAAAATTACCCGTCCCTAATTTATACCCTAGAGTCTAGGGTATAAATTGGTCTAGGGCCGAGACCTTTTTTCCCTGCGTCATAGGTTCTGTAAATATAACAACAACAACAATCAAGAAAACTACAACAAGACAATAACAAAACAAAAACAACTACAACAGCACAAGGACAACAACAAGAACAGCATCATGAACTAGGATACGAAGAGAGCAGCTCCCCACCCCACGACCTGTCCGGGGAAGGGGGGGGGGAGAGAGTTCCAGTACTTCGTTTATTTACCTTCCGCGTTCTAAATTCCTCAATATAAAGTTTCCCCTTCTAAAAAACACATAAAAAATTACAACAATAATAACAAAAACAAAAACACCTACAGAATCATAAAATGTGACGTAGAAAAACAAGTAATAAATAAAAAAAAATAATATTTCCGCCATAAACAAACAGCGACACAGTCTTCTAAAAAAAAATAATAATAAAAAGAAAATCGTCTTCCGGAAACACTTGTTGAGACGGGCGAGTGTGAGGAGAGGTGGAGGGGTGGGGAGGAGGGAGGGAGGAGATAGATAGATAAATATATATAGATATTTATATACAAAACTCCCTGCGTAGTTTCTCTGTGTATATATACAGAATACTTTCCCCAATAGTAAAATATACACTGGATATACAAGTTGGTTCAATACGTATACAGGGCGGCCATTCTCCCTCAAGCACATGAAGAGTGTCCCCCACTACCTACCTCCTTCACTTATACTGATAACATTCACACACACACATTCACCTTGAGATAAACTACATACATTGCTGGCGAGACACACGCACATACAGTTTACGTCCATCATGACCTCTCTTAGAACGCTCCAATATACATCAGCATCCTCTTGACGTCTTCAACCATCAACTGACGGCAAGGAATCTGTAACAAGTTGATATATGGTGGTGATAGTGGTGGCGGTGGTGATGGTGGTGGTGGTGGTGATAGTGGTGGTGGTGATGGTGATAGGTGGCGGTGGTGGTGATAGTGGTGGCGGTGGGTGGGGTGGTGGTGATAGTGGTGGTGGCGGTGGTGGTGATGGTGGTGGCGGTGGTGGGTGATGGTGGTGGTGGTGATGTGGTGGTGATGATGATGGTGGTGGTGGTGGTGGTGATGGTGGTGGTGGTGGTGGTGGTGGTGGTGATGGTAGTGGTGGTGGTGATGGTGGTGGTGGTGGTGATGGTGGTGGTGGTGGTGGTGATAGCGGTGGTGGTGGTGGTGATGGTGATGATGGTGGTGGTGGTGATGGCGGTGGTGGTGGCGGTGATGGTGGTGGTGATGGGAGGAGAAGAAGCGGAAGTCAGGAGGGAGGAACACGTGGATGCAAAACACCCCGAAGAGGGAGGAGGATGGAAAAAGGAGGAGGAAGGAGGGAGGGGAGATAAATAAGCATAAGCATCAGGTGTTAGGGGAAGAGGAAGAAGTGGGAGGGTGGTGATGGAGGTTGGTGTTGTGGGGGCGAATGATGGAAGGAGTGGAGAAAGAGGTGGTGGAGGAGAGTGGTGGTGGTGATGAAGGAAGAGAGGTGGTGGTGGAGGAGAGTGATGGTGGAGGAGTGGTGGTGGTGGTGGAGTGGTGATGGTGGAGAGGGAGACTGATGGTGGAGTGGTGGTGGAGGTGATGGTGGAGGAGAGGGATGGTGGAGAGTGATGGTGGAGGTGGTGGTGGAGGAGTGATGGTGGAGGTGATGGTGGAGGTGGTGATGGAGGTGGTGATGGAGGTGGTGATGGAGGTGATGGTGGAGGTGGTGATGGAGGTGATGGTGGAGGAGTGATGGTGGAGGTGGTGGTGGAGTGGTGATGGAGGTGGTGATGGAGGTGGTGATGGAGGTGGTGATGGAGGAGTGATGGTGGAGGAGTGGTGGAGGTGGTGATGGAGGGTGGTGATGGAGGGTGATGGTGGAGGTGGTGATGGAGGGTGATGGTGGAGGGTGGTGATGGAGGGTGGTGGTGGAGGTGGTGTGGTGGAGGGTGGTGGTGTGTGGTGTTGGACATGACAGAGATGTAGACATCACATCACTGGCAACAACAACCGGACAGCCTCCGTACAACGATACTGGGTGGTTGGGACTACACCAATACACCACCACCAAACACCACCACAACACACACAACACTCACACTACACCACCACTCTACACCACACGCACATACTACACCCACACCACCACTACCACACCACCACTACACCACCACGCCACCACCCACCCACTACACCACACCACCACTACCCACCACCACACCACCACCACACCACCACTACACCCACACCACCACACACCACACCACACACCACTACACACACCACCACACCACACACCACACACCACACCCACACCACCACGCCACTACCACACACCACACCACGCCACACCACCACACACCACACACACCACCACTACACCCACACCACCACACCACCCACACCACCACTACACCACACCAAGTCTCCACACCTCTCCTCTGACCCTCCCTCCTTCCCCCACCTTAACACCCACTTAAGCCACGTCGGGTGCTCAATCTTCACGTGTTAAAAACAAGAATATACACCAAAATATATTACCAAGCACCGTGAAGACTCCTCCCGTCAGCAGAAGGTCGGGAGGAGGGAATGTGTTACCGGGTGGCATTACGTATTTATAATGTATTGATCGTGGGGACGGTGTAATTATGTGTAGTGTTTAACGTTGTGAAATACCTGTACCCGTGTGTCTTGCACTCTTGTGTGTCTGCTGTTCTGTACCTGTGTGTCTGCTGTACCTGTGTGTCTGCTGCACCTGTGTGTCTGCTGCACCTGTGTGTCTGCTGTACCTGTGTCTGCTGCTGCACCTGTGTCTGCTGCACCTGTGTGTCTGCTGTACCCGTGTGTCTGCTGCACCTGTGTGTCTGCTGTCTGTGTGTCTGCCTGCATGTCTGCTGCACCTGTGTCTGCTGTACCTGTGTGTCTCCTGTACCCGTGTGTCTGCTGCCTGTGTGTCTGTTGTACCTGTGTGTCTCGTGCACCTGTGTGTCTGTGCCTGTGTGTCTGCACCTGTGTGTCTGCTGTACCCGTGTCTGCTGCACCTGTGTGTCTCGCTGTACCTGTGTGTCTGCTGTGCCCGTGTGTCTGCTGCACCTGTGTCTGCTGTACCTGTGTGTCTCCTGTACCCGTGTGTCTGCTGCACCTGTGTGTCTGTTGTACCTGTGTGTCTCGTGCACCTGTGTGTCTGCTGTACCTGTGTGTCTGCTGCACCCGTGTGTCTGCTGTACCCGTGTGTCTGCTGCACCTGTGTGTCTGCTGTACCTGTGTGTCTGCTGTACCTGTGTGTCTGCTGCACCTGTGTGTCTGCTGTACCTGTGTGTGTCTCCTGTACCCGTGTGTCTCCTGTACCCCGTGTGTCTGCTGCACCTGTGTCTGTTGCTGCACCTGTGTGTCTCGTGCACCTGTGTGTCTGCTGTACCTGTGTCTGCTGCACCTGTGCGTCTGCTGTATCTGTGTGTCTGCTGTACCTGTGTGTCTGCTGTATCTGTGTGTCTGCTGTACCTGTCTGCTGTACCCATGTGTCTGCTGCACCTGTGTGTCTGCTGTACCTGTGTCTGCTGTACCCATGTCTGCTGCACCTGTGTGTCTGCTGTACCTGGTGTCTGCTGTACCTGTGTGTCTGTTGTATCTGTATGTGTCTGCTGTACCTGTGTGTCTGCTGTACCTGTGTGTCTGCTGTACCTGTGTGTCTGCTGTACCCGTGTGTCTGCTGTACCCGTGTTTGTGAGTTTATTTAATACTATACTAAAGAAATAAACCTAATAGTGACTGAGGTCATAAAACAGGTGGCATGATGAGAGTGATGCTGGTTACATACTTCTCCATCATCACTATCAGCTTCATCACCATCACAAATTATTACCACCATCATCACTACCACCCATCCCCACTATCATCACCACCACCACTACAATCATCACCATCACTACCACCATCACACCTTACCAACACTCCCCTTTAAAACATATAAAAAAATCAATCAATCGATAAAAAATGCTCAAAAATTTACCACGAGCAAAATGTTAACAGTGTAGTTCTGACAAGCTGAACCAGTGACCTACTTTACCCATGACTGAGGTGGGTGGGTGGGGGGCGTGGTCCTAGTGTGGAGAGGAGGGAGGAGGGCGTGGTCAGTGTGATGGGTGGGAAGGAGAGAGGGTGGTGTGTGAGTACAAAGGGAGGACAGGCGTGGCACGTGTGGAGGGAGGGAGGGAGGGCACGTGTGGAAGGAGCACAGTGTTTCCCTATGCCCCTGACCTACATACAGTACACCCCCACAACTCTTTACCTAACCCACTAATGCACTTAAGAGGCATCATGAAAGAAAGAGAGGAGGGTGTGTGTGTGCTCTGGCAGTGGGGCCGGTGCAGCCTAACACTCCAGCAGTAGCTACTAGGCTCCCCCACAGCAAACACTGCTCTCTCTCTCTCTCCTTCACACTCCACGAGACACAAAATCCAATATTTACAGTACTGTACTTCCACACACACACACACGACTCCTTCCCTCACTTCCTCTCTCTCACACACACACACACACTCCTTCCCATACACGTCCACTCCTTCCCTCACTCCCACACACCCGATCCCTCCCTAACACACACACACACACACACACACTCCTCCATAAAAAAAACCATAAAACACTTGAACGACTCAAACAAATTTGACTACGTTCCGGCATCATCCATCCTGGAGACGAATAAGAAAAATCTCGTGGTTGAAGTGTGTCCGATATTAAACCAAGATTCCCCACGTTACTTTTCTCTCCCACTGAAAGTAATTAACGACGGTATTGATAAACCGATTGATGACTATACATACAGTACAGTGAAGATATTAATTAGTTATTAATTAAGACTAGCTCGTCCCTGTAAGGTCTAGTTTTAGTACAGGGATTTAGAGGCACACGGGGGGTAAAAACAACACCCTTCTCACGTCTGACCTGAGTAAGGATCGAACACACATCGCAGTGGTGAGAGGCAGGAAAGCACGCTACCGTTCCACCCACAGGCACCCGAGTCTGAACGTATATTTGAGGCAATGATTTTTCGGGACGTAATATTTGTGTTTTATCTTGACTCGGCAAACTGGGCCTTTTTACATCGTAGATTACTGTACCAGGAAAATACCAGCCCAGCGAAACGTCCACCTTTGACGTCGATTATCCCACCGAAAGAACGCATAAAAGACCCGAGACAAAAATTAGGTCTAAACTGCTTTAGCGAGAGCCAGTCAATCAGGGTTTTCTATTCGGTATTTCGGGAATTAAGACTATATTCATCTCCTTTCGTTATCTGTCATTATAACAATAAGAAAAAGTAACCCATCAGTCCCTTGTTTTGGCTCCTGTCACCTGGAGGAGGGAGCTTCAAGACCCCCCTCACCAACACCACCTCTTCCTCCTCCTCCCTCTTCCTCTCTTCCCTAATCCCACCAAACACTCTCTCTCTCTCTCTCTCTCTCTCTCATACCTGCAAGCTCACCTTACTTAATTATCATCAACTATTCAATCTTTTTTCCTGTTTCACCTTGTACAGGATCCAGTGAAAGCATGTTGTGTTGTGTTGTGTTAGGTATGATAGACTATCTCCAGTGGTACAAGAATTATACTCCAGACCAATATTGAACCTTGCCATTTAACTTTTAAAGTTAATCCAATCGAAACTGTACGACTGGAAACATTGTCCGACCAACTTTTTGAAACACAGATACAGTACAATACAGTACACCATATGCCCCTCTAGCTGGGACATAAAGACTGGTACATTATCACCTTATGTAAAATTTAAATAATTGACCGGCGTCAACATACCAACACAGCTGACGTTAACTCAAGTATGTGTTTCCCCAGAGTGTAGTTAACCTACCAACGTTGTACAAGTGGTAGTGAGAGCAGAGGAAGGAAGGAAGGAAGATGGCAACACTAGTCATCAGTGAGATTCAACCCCCAGCCACTGTTCCCCTCCCATGGAGATTCATGTTACCACTTACTCTCTTCACTCTCTCACTACTTGCACCAGGTAAGTGTTTGTACTACTACTACTACTACTACTACTACTACTCTTATTACTACTAATTTCCATCACATCATTAGTACAGTATCTTGTTTGCTTTTTTAATCAATAATTCTTGTGACGATTCTAATTCCCTATAACTCCTAAAATTAAATTGGCCATTAGGTGATATATATTCAATGAGATGCAAAAGGTAAACTAAAACAAAACAAAGTCACAATGTCTTCCTTTCTCCTCTTATACACTTTTTAATACAGGTGTTGATATCCAATGGCAGTCAAATAAGGCTTCTTTCTGTCAAAGCATCATGTGTGAATGTCTGCACTTCTTTCCTACTGTATGTCTACTTCTGAAGCCAAACTATAGTAAATATGATTAGGTCACAATGTAGAACCTTTTTTTTTTTTTACATATTCTTGCAGCGTGTGGTATCCAGTGTTACGAGTGCGTCCACAACAACCAACGGGTCAAGCGTCACAACCGCTTTGTTTATCCCTGCTCTGAATTTGACGGCTCGAACCGCTATATAATGAATTGCCCGGATTCAAGACTTTGTATATACCAGAGGATCACCCTCACGTTATCATCAGGTACGGCACATATCTGGAGTCATCGTCACCATCATCATCAACAGTCTATATACCTTAAGTTATCATTACCACCATCATCATGTCTGGATGAAGGCCTCCTCCCACATGTTTCCATAGTCGTCTATTTTGTCCTCTTCCTCCTCACCAAGTGCCTATCAAATGTCTTATGTTCTCATCTCCTCAACTGGCAACTTTCCACTACATTATCATTACCATTAGCTTCCGTCAACCCAGTGCTGGATGCAAGCCTTTCACAGGTGCCTCCATAATTTACGAATTAAGCTCTTCTTATATACTGAAAATATCCCCAATTATATTAAATATTCCTTTGAAATATAGTACATAAGCACATCACTCTCAGACCAGTTGAAGCACAGGAACAGCTTAAACAATCCTCTCCAATGTGTTCCCTTCCTGTCTCCCCTTTCCTAACAGAGAATATAATGGTAATCACTAAGGACGGCTGCACGCCCAACGTCACTGACCACGCTCGCTATGCTGAGGCTGGTTTGGTAAAAGAGGGATGCATCCAACACAAGAGTGCGTACAAGCCTCCATCGTCGGAATACTGCTACTGTGGATACGACCTTTGTAACAATGCCTCGTCCAGCCATCAGTCGCTACAAGTTTTAATCGCTGTCGCTTTTATTACAATATTCCTTCACTGTTTAAACTGGAAAAGTTTATCTTGACAAAATCATTATTGTATATACTGTCAACTCACACCCAACAGAGAGACACAAACTATGAGCTGTGTTCCTATAGACACCATGTCTATGTTTATTATCTAGTTATGCTGTGACATATTTTTAGTTTTATATAAATCTGTTCAACCTGAAAGCAGACCTTAAGTTTTTCATTCAGTTTAGTGATGAATAATTAGCTGTGCTTGAATATATTTAACTGTGATGCATAACACCAAAAGAACATTTTGTAATATTCACTGAACAATTCTTTGTAAGTCCAAAAAACAAAACCTCATGATATTTACAGAACATGGAATGTTCAGTTAATACCAGGGCAACGAATATCCTTCAAACATTGATATACACTTAACTAAGACTTGATACCCATCCAAATACTGTACAGCCTTGATCAGTGGTGGGGCGTGTAAGTATATACTGTGTATACCAAGGCAATGTAGTGGGGACATCTCCCTTGGGCCATAAACACCACCACAGCATCATATACTTCAACAGAGGACTCCCTCCCTCCCCCAAGTCCAAAACTAGTGTAAAACTACTTGTGATGTACACATCATTGAATAACAGGTTCAATTAATCACTTTTCTAAACTCGGTAACCCCTCGCACGTTCTGGTTCCATTTGGAGGCCTTCATGAGTTAGCCTCCAGGATACTCTTCTCAATCACTGACCAACTCATATGTGCACTACTGCCACAGATTCCTCTACTCAAGGACATTTCTTTCAAATATGAAATGATGAGCCGTCACATCTGAACAACAGTCATGTCAAAATCTCATGTTACTATTGAACAGAAAAAATTATCCCTAATAAAGTGCTCACCAATGTTATTATCTCTTTACACGAATGACGATATTAACGTTGGGAGCAGTTTGAACATCTATTAACCCACCGTTACAGCCCAATGGGACCAGACTTTTGGTACACCCTGTAGATTTTTATTAAAATTCTTTTTTACTGTAGTGCAACAATGCTGTTCATCCTTTCCCTATCAGAACTTAATGTAAGTTCAAAATTACATTACAGGCTGTGATATGATGTGAATGTTTATGTGTAATTAATGATAGTGTTTGAATGTACAGTGTAATAAAGAATAATAAGGACACTATTTGTTTTCCTTACAGCTGCTGTGTGTAAATGAAGGACTGATCTTGATATCCTATTTCTTAACCTGGCTGAGTCTGGATCATTCTGTATAGTCAACAATTCTACACACTAAACACCATGTTCCCAAACTTGCGACTGACATTCAAGAATTAAGTGAGACGGGCAAATACCAACTAGCACACCCGACCTTAGGCTCTGACCCCACCTGCGGCCAGTCCACCTCCAACCACGTCCCCAAACTAAAGAAGGAGGAAGCAACAGAGTCCATACAGTCTCTCTTTGATGACATAACATTGTTCAAATCAGAAATATTATGAAAAAAAAAAAAAAAAACAGAAAAATTACTACGGTACTTTGCAGGTCATGGAGGGAATGAATCAAGAGACATCGCTTTGTTTCTCTACTCCTGAAAATATGATAGAAAACTGAATCCCAGGAGCCAGGACCTGAAGGTGAATGACGCACATACAGGTCTGTCCAGGATGATGTATCAACACAACGTCCACACATCTGCACCTCGTCCACACTCACTAAGAGCTACTAAAAATATTATCGGTGGCCATGTTCACCAAGACCAAATGGGTGAAGTTCACATATTCACATAAACCCAAAGACATGTCAGAAGTCTTCACCTGTGTTCATCCCCTCGTTCCCCCTGAACAGAGCCCCAACACCACACACAACTAACAAGAACACATGACCTCAATTAGGTATACAATGCATGTCATCTGTCATGAACCACTTAATTACAACCCTCATGATAATCATCCCCAGAAAAATAATCATTCACTTTATGATTAACTTTTCTAAAAGCATAATATCTGGAAATGGGAACAGCATCTCTATGTAACAAAGAATTCTTAATGCATTATTTACTCATTAGACTTGATGAGTTCCATTTCTAACACACACAATACAAATAAGGACTATTCACTTACCTGGGCATCAAATTCAATCAGATAAAGGAAGACAACATCTTCTCTCTGGAGTCTAATGGCAGCATGCAAGGGATGTCTGGTCTTAGATTTAAACATTGCATACAACAAAGGTGCAGACATGTGTGAGAAGTCATCATGGGTGAAATCGTTCTGAAAAAGAGAAAACGAAAAGCATGAGAAATATTTACTTACAACAAAATAAAAAATCCAACATTCATACAAAAATGATAATTTAATATAAGCTGTACACTAACATTTTAACATCATTATAAATCAGGGGTGGGAAAAGTATGGCCCGCCAAATTATTTCTGTGGCTCGCCACTGCATTTGTATTTACAAATACAAGGCTTTACTTTGTGTTAATATAATACATTTGCATCTACATTAAGTGTGTGGCCCGCGAAGTGTGCCACCATTCATGAAGTGACCCCTCCATCAAAAATAATTGCCCACCCCTGTTATAAATGGTATATGATAATACTGTCTTGGATGTCTGAAAAAGGTTTAGGAGAAAAAGTAAAAAATCAATAAAATGGAAGACTGAAAGACTGATCCTTATACAGTATCCCTTCTTCTTGAACAGCCCCCCAGACCTCACAGTACACAGAGACTAGTTGGGGAGCATTGTATCACTTGCCACCAGCCCCTTATAATTTTGTCTTGGGGTTAAACTGTTAAACCAATTAGATACTGTGCATCATTCACTCCCCCCCTCTGTAAGGATGACCTCAAACAAGAGAGTTCAACATAGCAGTCATGTAGAGGCTTCAGCCTTGGTGCTGGACTCACTAATGTGGTCTATCACAAAACATCAACTTGTGGCCACCAGTTTCTGGCAATAATGTTTTATATCCACGATGCCATAAAAATTCCCAATTACAATTTCCTGAATTTTTTTTTTATTTTACTGCTTGCATGTGTGGCTACCAACCACAGTGAACTGCTTAACATAAAGCTTCATCCACTAAAAACAAATCCAAGAGAAGGACTCCTCTCCTTCTTTGTAAATAATGCACCCACCTCAAGCTCTCTGTTAAAACAAGTGACAGTCAATGTATCATCCACTGTAAGCCATATATCCCACTCCTTTATAAACTCACAACCTTGGGAAAGAAATAAAGGAGTAAAAACATCATCACTGTACAGTGGGGTATGCTATAACGAACGGATCCTACTACGAATATTCCTATAACGAACGGTTTTACCTATAAAATTGAGAATGCTATAACAAACAAAACTCCTACAACGAACATTATTTAAAAAATAATTTTTTTTTTTTTTTACTAATTTATTGTTTTTTTATTACAAGTATTAATGATTTTCTATATTTCAGGGGTTTAGATGCATATTTATGCACTTTTTTAAAAATTTTTACAATTTTATATTATATTTTTCAGTGTTAAGTGGGTGTATTTGGGGGCCTGGAACGGATTAATCCTATAACGAACGAATGCTATAACGAACAAGGTTCTAGAACCAATTAGATTCGTTATAGCATACCCCACTGTACTTGCAAACATCTATTAATGTAGGTCAGTGTTTACTTAACTTCTCAAATGCTGGAAATGAGGTACACAATGTTTTCCTGAGACAAACATTGTTAGTTTAGTATCAAAATATGAGACTCACCCAGTGGGTTGATATTAAGGTAGAACAATGGTCCCGCAGAGTCTCGGCACCAATCTCATCTGCCGTGGTGTAAAGACGCACACAGTTACGTACTGTTACCCAACCCATCAATGCTTTCTCACATCTGGGGAAAATGAAAGAATATTAAATGTATACAGTATAAACAGTAAACAAAAGAAACAATAATAAAACACAACAGTCATCATTCAACAATTTGTTAAGAAAATTTACTTTTAGTGATGTTTCAGATATATGTGAAGCTCGGAATTAAAGGAAAACTTGACAAGACAATATTTTCCAAATTAATGTACATGACTTTTAAAGCCATGATATCACATATGGGAGAGAGGCACTGAGCACAAGATACAGATCATCTTAACATTAAATCATGCAATTTCAAGCCCTTTCATTTTAATGATTCCTAAATCATAAAAAAATTATAATAAATAAATAAGGAGCCACCTAAATAATGTTAACATATCACAATAAACAGATTGTAACTTTCTTCAAAAGGCAAGTTTTGAAGAAAGAGACCTCAGGGAATCACCAGATGAGTGTGTAGTGTCAGGGACTGTCTACAAAATAAATGCTGCAATAGGTAATGTTCAACTTTCAAAGAGGGAATATGTACTAAGATGAATACTGTCCGGCCATGACTTCTAAGCTGTAACAGTCTTTAACTACCAGAGCACAATACGTACAATACAGTAGGGTCGGGCTATATCGCGACTTTATATAAAAATATTTTTATATCATGGCTAACAAAATTATAGCGATAAATTTGTTTATTTCACGAGGGAAATCGGGCAAGAAATATTTCAAATGTACCACCATGGCAAACAAATACGTTATTTGCTCACCAGAGGCACCACCGTGGCTGCTCAATACGCTCGTCCGTTCAGTCTTTCCGAGTGAGTGGCGAGAAAGCAGCCGACTGCTGCAGATTACGACTCCTAAGGCGAGTGTAAATGGGTTGCTGGTGATGTGAAAAGAGAACGTGAAGATAATGGAAAGCTTAATGGAAAAGATTTAATACTGTAACTAATATTTTTGGCTTGTTTGTTCATGATTGTTAAGTGAGGGTGGCAGTGTGTCGTCTGTTGTTCTCGGGATGGCGCATCAGCTGCCAACTATAGTGCAGATTACGACTTCTAAAGCGAGTGTAAATGGGTTGCTGGTGACATGGTGTTCGTTTATGGAGGTGTGGGATTGTCAAGTGAGGGTGGCAGTGTGGCGTCTACTGCCGAGTCTGGTGTTCCCAGGATGGTGCATCAGCTGCCGAGTCTGGTGTTCCTTGATATTGAAATAGGCTGTTGTTCCTGAGTCTAGTGTCCATTGGTGCTTTAGTTAGTAAGAAAATGAACTCTAAGTCACTTTCAGTCACTTTTTTTGGCCTCCAGAACCTAACCCTATTTTCCCCATTGATTACATGTAATTATATATCGCGATTTAGTATATAGCGAACATCGTTGAACCCTATCTCGTGATATATCCCGACAATACTGTAAAGCATATACTTTTATTACACAAGTATCAATGAGCCATCAAAAGTGAATTCATCTTTATTTCTGAGATACTTGGTATACTCCAACCGCCAATGTCAAAATTTATCCTGTGTTTTTAACTCGGAAACTTAGTTTGGTAATATTTGAGTTGCCCAACCCAGGTATTTGGTTGTGTAATAATGAATCCTTAGATCAATATATTGTACTGCATAATTAACCCTTAAACAGCAGCAAAGAATCCCCTAATCTGCCATCATGTGCACAAAATTTGGAACTCAAGGAAGATGAAACATCCCTTCAGCTAACACACCCACCTCTTCATTAGGGGACTGAGGGAGAAGCCTGCAGCAGCTCGCATGAGATTTAACGTAAAGTTGTGTTCACTCAAGAGACTGACGTGGTCTGTGTACACCCAGCGCAGCACTGCCTCTCCAACTTCCTCCTCCAATGAACTCCAATCTGAAAATATCAACTTTATAATGCTCTCAGCCTGGTGGATCAGATGAAGAAAAAACATATCAAGTACTAACTCTGATTATTCATAGTATTATGGACAATGACATGGAATACATAAATGAGGAACTACTGGACAGTATAAAGAAATACATACAATATATATAGTGCTCTGTACAGTAAATCCTCCACTTCTATGGGGATTACATTCCTGGAGGAGTGGTTATGATGTCCATAGAAAGCGAAGTTAACAGCTTAGGGAAAAACAGATTGGGTTCCAGGGTGTACAGGTCAGTGTCAAGGTCGAATTACCAGTATATAGTTACATATCAAACAACCACTAAGTTTATTCGAGGTCTTTCATGACACCAATAATCTAAGTCCCTCTTAACAATGCTCTAAAAAAATTTGTGCAGAACATTGGCAGCAATAGAACAGAGCTGATATGCATGGCAAAAGGTCATACACTGGTATATGCCATCCCTGTTACTGACACCGAGGCATCTATTCAGCAGCAGATCCAGGGGGGTCCTGGGAGGTCTGAACCTCTCCTTTTCATCAGAAAAGCCCAATACTTTTTCTTGAATGCAGTACAGTATTGTATTCAGGTATTTCTGTATAGTAAAAAGTAATTACCATTGACCTCAGAATATCTCTTATATCAAGTGCACATGGCTTCAAAATAGCCTCAAAATGCCCTTGATATTGGAACCCCCCCCCCCCTTGATATTCCTGGACCCGCCCCTGCGATTAGGGCTGCATGCAAACAAAATAAGTATCAACTGCAGTGTGAATTAACAAGAGGACATCTCAGCCATAAAACACAATCCTCTCATAAAAAGATTTAGCCTGTGTGGCAGAAATCTAGTCTAATACACAAAGTGAGAAATAACTTTTCTTTAGGAACTCCATACAGAGAACAGGAGAGTGTAAGCAACAAATGTTGACAGTAAGCCAGAGGCAGGAAATGTGTGTGGAATGAAGTTCATAACCTTATGAAGACTGAGTGAAGCAGATCAGATCCTGTTGTTCTTGTAACCTTGCCAGCTTCTGTAGCACCAAAGTATTGGACTTGAAGTTTGTTTCATAAACCCTGGTTCAGGCCGGTGAGCAGCTGTTTATGCAGCAACTTAAACGGTGTGACAGGTCAGTGTCCCTGCCTCTGTGTGTGTAAGATAGACTCTACCAGGGAGTGCTGTGAAGAGACTTTTAAACAAGCCACTTGAATTTAATACAGTGTTAAAGAAAATGATGAAGGACTTACCAAGTGAATCAACATCAGCAAGAGAGGTGACACCCCAGTTGTCACTGCGGGCAGCCAATACAAAACGATGAGCACGAACATCCCTACTGCCAAGGTTTACAGACATGTCGCTGTATTTTTCCTGGAGATAAAATAAAGTAGAATACAGTAGAAGTATCTTTACTGATTTTATCAGGAAAAACAATGGTATTTATTGGTACTTAATCAAGTTCAAAAATTAGTTTTTCAACTAACTTCAACTAAAATAGATTACATTAGGTTAAGTTAGGTTAGGTTTGGTATAACCTTACCTAACAGTCTCATCTAGGTTAGGTTAGGTTAACTAAGCTTAGGTTTGGTATTACCGAACCTAACTGCCTCATCTAGGTTAGGTTAGGTTAGCTCAGGTAAGGTGTGGTGTAACCTAACCTAACAGTCTCATCTAGGTTAGGTTAGTTAAGAAATTAGCTGACAACCTTAAAAAATTTGCAGGTATAATGGATAAGTACTACTGCATTTAATAACATCTACTGTATAGTACTGTAACCTACAGGTAATTATTAAAAAAAAAAATGGAGGATTAACCTTCAACAGAAATTAAAGCTACTCTAGGGATTTATAAAAATTCTATGGGAACATTGTGTGACCCAAAATGTAACTCCTCACTTATTGGTGTCACTGATTTACACTTCACAGGGTTTGTCAGAATCTAACCAGCCCCAAGTTAACCCTGCAGACTGCACAGGATTTACTATGTAATGTACATACAGTACAAAAAGTTAAATAAAGACACCAACTTCCAACTAAAGGAATCAAAATAATAAAATAAATGGAATCTATATACTGGGACGTACCTTGTCATATAAATCAGCTACAAATCGTAAAAGCCTCGTAACAAATGAGTCCTCGCCATCTGTAGCCTGGGAGTTGGCAGTGGCGATGGCATGCTGCTGTTCAAGGGATGTAAAGCGCTCCTGCAGCCGCACATACTGTTCACGCAGTAGAGACAAATGCTGTTGCAGCTTCCCCAATTCTGCAGTCATAATAAAGATCATTAAAAGGACAACAGGAAAATCTACAATACTGCCTATACAAGTCTCTTTATATACAGCATCTGGAAGAACTAAATAATAAAGGAATATCATGAAAAATGTATAATATAAATCCCTTTTAAAGTTTTCAGTACCATGAAGAATAATTCTATTTCTTGTTGTCATATTCGTTCGTTTATAGACACAGCTAAAGCAAACATAAACAGCATGTTGGCCTTGGTCACATGTGTTTATTAACCCTCGAGTTATTTAGATCTACACCATAACTGAGCTGTGGTTGATGGTGGCAATGATGTACCATAGAGTAACCGATCACTGCTCAGTGGTTCATTCTGGCTTATATCGGACACAGTTCAACAATGAGTTTTTTAAAATTGTCTCGGTGTCCTGTAGTGTGACAGACACAGCTTGTCTGTTGAGCCACTCTGGATTTTTATCCTATAATGATGACTAAGAAACATGATATCATAAGCATAACTTGTGCATTATTTACAATCACAGATGTTAAGTCTACAATGGGTTTAAAGTACCAGCACTGCACTATATTGAAAGACTGTTTATATAATGACAAAATGAACCAACTAAACCTGACTTGACATAATAATTTTGGAACAGGTTTAAGTTAAGTTAGGAAGGTTTTGTTCAGTCAAGTGAAATGAAATGTACACAATATCCAAGCTGCCATAATAGAAACAGGTTATGATTCTATTCTACGAAAATCACCATAACTTCTGTTTTAGACAAATTCTATTTTAATAATGTAGTTTTAAGAAGTCAATTATTCCAAGATATTAAATGATATTGTATTGTAACTTTAATTGAAGGTCACCCACAGCTAAATGAGCTAACAGTCAACATACTCCTGTCAATTGGTATCCAAAATTAAAAGAGCATACAGACGAATCACTATAATCATCTGCACACACATGAGCTTTTACGTATATAAACACATAAATGAAATAATCTTTAAGCATGGGTGAACTTTTTCTTGTTGGTTTGTGTACGTTACTCCTCTCCCTGGGACGCTCTTTTGGGAAACACTTACTATTATTCACCTTACATAAAATTCATCGTCTTTAGAAGGCAGATTTTAATTTAATATTACGCCATTGCCATTAACCAGGATAAATAATTACCGTCACTAGCAGCCATGGAATTAGTATTCAGCAGCTGGTCACGAGACGCCCATCAACTTTTCAATGTTGTGGTAATGTGTGCGAGTCGTACCTATGTCTATTAGTTGTCGAACTTTAAAAAGTATCGTAAAGACCAATATGAATATTTATTTCAAATAGTTACGGTACGTAAAAAAAAGTATATAATCATAAATTTCCACCTTTAAGGGACATTACAGTACTAGCAGTGTCAATATTTCCTCACCGGTTTGGAAGAAACAGCTGGTTCATCGTGTGTGTACAACTAGTCATTACAAATCGGCTAACATTCTACCTCCATACAGTACTGTTATTTTACAAATATAATTAAGGCGTATATATAAATAATATATGCTTTATAGCTAATAAAATGTTCATGTGCAAGATAACAGTGAGAGTTGTAAACTCTTGGAACACCCTGCCACAGAGTGTTGTGACGGCACCGAGTGTGAGGCTGTGAGCTGTTCACTGGAGTAGCACTGGAGTAGGTTCAGAATTCAGATACATTCAAGAGCCAGTGCATGCCCAGTACTTGCCAACAGTGCGTAACAGAGACGTGACCGACCTCCCAAGCGGCTAACGAGCCGATCATTGGTGAAGAGGATATAAGTGAAAAAATAGAACTAATCTAATCTAATCTAACCAAACCAAACATAATCTAACTGAACCTTAACTACCTAACCTAACATATCTTACTCAAACCTCACCAATCATATATACTAGAGTTCCTAATAATCCTGAAATCCTTATAAATTCTTGTAAATTTTTTGCAAATAATCTTTAACGTAAAATTCGTTTAGCAAAAGTGACTAAAGTTCTAATATGTGTATTTTTTTATTAATTTTTGTATAGCCAAGGTTAATTTCTTCAACATAGCTCTGTCCTGAATTAACTACATGATAATTAATATACTCATTATTATTATTAATATTAATTCCACTAACCGAATCTCGAAACTTTTATCTTTACAATCAATAGTTCAGAAAATTCTATAACACTTTTCTTCTATGACGTTTCCTTCAAAAACGACCTATATTATTATTATTTTTATTATTACATTATAATTGTTCTATACGCATTTATTATTAGTATTAGTATTATTATTACCAATTCAATATCGAGAACTTTTTCTTTACAACCAATAGTTCCGACAATTCTAGGTCACTTTTCTTCAATGTAATGACGTTTCCCTCACTTTTTACTTTTACTTTGATTCTGTTCACCACTGATCGGCTCTTTAGCCGCTCGGGCGGTCGGTCACATCTCTGTCACTCACTGTTGGTAAGTATTATAATTCATGTGCTGGCTCTTTGTTACGCACTGTTGGCAGGTACTGGGCATGCATCGGCTCCTGAATGTACCTGAACCTGCTCCAGTGTTGGACTTGCCGATACTCGGCATGACCTTTAATCTCATTCAAAATGATTTAATTCTCGCTTTAATCTCATTCAAAGTCATTTAATTTCCGCGTTTAATCTCATTCAAAGTCATTTGAGTCCCTCATTATTTAAACTCATTCATGAACCTGTTTATTTAGGTCCATTTTCTTTTATGCACTTAAAGAAAATGAAACTCTTACACGAGGGGTTTCTTTACCTTTTTATTATGATTGTAAGATACAGCAATTATTTTATTTATATATTTTTTTTGCGGGAATTAGCTCACCCGGGCACAGGTCACTGACCCACATCAGGGCCTGGGGGGCGAAAATGGAATAACTATTCATAGTAAATAAAATTTATAATAAAATAAAATAAAATAATAATAATAATAATAATAATAATAATAATAATAATAATAATAATAATAATAATAATAATGAACTATAAAGAAATACAAACACGAAAATAATAGTGAGAAACGATATATGTATGTTGTGTTGTCAATAGTAAGAGAAACAATTGAGACCCTGCAATTGTGTGTAAATGAGGCAGAAAGACAGATCAGCAACCTGGGACTTTGTCACAATTTTCGTGATGCCATATGGCAGCAGGGTCTACCATTAGACAACACATTATGCTTCCAATATCTTCCCAGGCGGTTGAAGAGTAGTTTGTTTTAGTTTATTCTCTTTGCCACTGATCGGCCTGTTAGCCTCCTGAGAGGTCGGTCACGTTTCCGTTAGGCACTGTGAGCATGTACTGGCTCTCTGTGACACACTGCTGGCACTGTGAGCATATACTGGCTCTCTGTTACACACTGCTGGCACTGTGAGCATGTACTGGCTCTCTGTTACACACTGCTGGCACTGTGAGCATGTACTGGCTCTCTGTTACACATTGCTGGCACTGTGAGCATGTACTGGCTCTCTGTTACACACTGCTGGCACTGTGAGCATGTACTGGCTCTCTGTTACGCACTGTGGGCATGTACTGGTGTAGTGGATTCCTCCCCTACAAGCACCGAACCTTCTCGAATTCCCCAGCCTACGCCTCCAGCGCCGCCCACGGAGCGGGGGTCAACTATCTACCCACGCCTACCCCCGCCTTATAAGGCCTGACACCGCTGTGACCAGTCTCTTTCTACACAGTGCCACCAGCAAGCAACACCTCCTCCACGCCAGCCTTGCGGCTGCCGCTCCCGCCAGCGACCTTGGCGTCCCTCAAGCCGCGTGCCCTCACTCTGGGCACTACTCAGTTGAGTGTCCTTACTTGGAGCTGGCGGACGCTCGCCCCACAAGGGGTCACAGCTCAAGAATGAAGAAGCCGCAAGTCCAGAAAACTGAGGGCAAACTTTTTCGGAGTGAGGGTTGTGAACTCTTGGAACAATCTACCAGAAAGTGTTGTGACGGCACCGAGTGTGAGCTCTTTCAAGACCAGACTTGACCAACACTGGAGCGGGTTCAGGTACATTCAGGAGCCGGTGCATGCCCAGTACTTGCCAACAGTGCGTAACAGAGACGTGACCGATCGCCCGGGCGGCTAGCGAGCCAATCAGTGGCGAAGAGGATAAAAGTAAAAGTAAAAAAGTAAATAAATTATGCAGATTCAGGTAAAGAAATGTGTACTTTTAAGCTGTGGCACATACATACATACATACATACATACATATACTGTATACCTATACAGTATGTACTGTACACACACACACCGGCAAACCTCCTCCCCTTCACACCATCTAGTGTCATACCTCTGATCACACATTGTTTACGTGTGATTACCGTACGTACGATGCTAAGCAGATGCATACGATATTGTATTTATCTCTTGGGGGGGACAATAATAATAATAATAATAATAATAATAATAATAATAATAATAATAATAATAATAATAATAATAATAATAATAATAATAATAATAATAATAATAATAATAATAATTGGCAGTTAACTATTTCACACGGTAAACCTTGATATTGGCTTCTGATATGGACGTCACATTCCCTTTTAGTTTAGTTTAACAAATTTATTAACAAATCTTGGAGTACAGTTTGCCTATTCTGAGTAATTCATTCCTGTCTTGACACTGACGGTGGTGGTATCACAATCCCTGACGAGGAGGATCAAGTCGGTAAAATAAACTCATTTTCTTTGGTAGTGGTTCTTTTTTCAGCCACTAGATGATGAAGTTAAGGGTGGGAGACTTCGTTTGTTAATATGTAGGATAAACATGGACAAAGATTCACGTCTTACACTATCTTTATTACATAACAGCTTACAGCATACCAAAACAGTGATCAGCTGCTATGTGAGAGCGTACACATACAGCTGTGTGATATTACTGTATTGGAAGGTAATTACACTTTGACAGCAGGTAAGTTATTATCCCCGGTACTGTTGAGTAGTTTTGGTTCAGATTCTTAAATTTAAACTGAAATCAAAAGCAAAAATTAATAATATGGTTAAGATGCAGATGATAGTACAGGAGTCCAGGTTTTGCTGTGTAACTTCAGTATCATAATTGAGGTGGAAATGGTTTTATAAATTGTAGTAAACTTAAAGGAGAAATGGGCGATCTTTTTATTTGATTTGTTTCTCTCCGGAGTCTGGCAAAGATCGTCTCTCCTGTACTGTAACATTCTAGAACGTGGGTCCGGGTTAACCAGCTACCTCATGAAAAATGTACAGTGTATATAGAAGAAAACTTATTTATTCTTCAAAATTAAAGCAAATGGAGTGGAGGAATAACTCCTTAAGCTTCAGGCAACTGTTATCATGGATTTTGTTTCATACTCAAGAATATTTAAAGCTGTAGATGTAGTTACTAACCCTGTTACTGTACTTGCTATTGTTGAATCACAGTCCACATTTTTTTTTTAAACTACATATGGCTTGCAACTTTGTTAATTGTCTGTCATTAGAATACTGGTATATATTACCATTAACTATGTTACAGATTATATTGGGGGCAAATATATGATAAATAATTTTTCTCATAGAGCATGATGACGCGTGTGCTGCTGGTAGGAGGAGGGCTGACCAGTGCAGTGACTGGTGCAATGCTTCGCAGAGAACTTCCACATGTTGAACTGGTCTTGTGGGACAAAGCCCGAGGAGCTGGTAAGATATCCACACACTGTGTGGTATATCTTGTGTATATATTATTCAGTCATTTACTGTACTTTATTTCGTGTCTCTTCACACAGTACAGTACAGTACAGCCAATTTCCAGATGACTTTTCGGTGTACATCCAAAATGTGTGTGCTTTTGCTTAATTGGTACATGTAAACATGATAATTGTCCATTACTCTGTTGGAGTGTTACTGTTTACAGGCTAATGGATTGTTACAAATGCTCTGCTGCCTAGTTTTATACTTTTAACTTTTGCTCCATCTCTAGAAGTTGAAATTCTAGAGTGTCTCCACACTTTGACTTACTGTACAGTATTTTCATACAATATTTTCCTGTTCCTAGTGACAGGCTTCTGTCCTTCCATGGCCAAGATGTTGTCTGTAGTTCTGTAGAAACATTATGATACTGTAACCAATAAAATGTAATCTGACGATTGTTCTATTTTTCAGGAGGTCGTATGTCAACAAGTCGCAGCCCACACGACTCTTCCTGTACGGCTGATCTAGGTGCTCAATACATCTCAGCAACTCCAGAATATGCTAAACTGCACAACTTGTATGTTTTACTGACATACCCAGTGTCTGACACAATACAGTATATGTTGATGTTGAAATAATAGTTTTTTTTTTACATTATTTGTACACAGAGATATTAACACATAAAGCCCTGATAATCTTTTTTTTTTTCTATTTCGTTTTTAGTGATAATTTTGTATACAGTCTAACCAAACAATATGTAGTGATATAGGTGTGTTGTTAGATTAAGATAAAGAGTACAGTACTGAATGGCCGTAGTCATGAAGAGGCAGGAGAATGTGTGTGTGTTAAGTGTGACTCGTATGAAAGATCTGTAAACCATGTGTGAAGCTACTCTATAAATGTACATTACAGATATTTAAGTATCATTCATGTGTTTCTATTTTCAGTCATGGGAAACTGAATCATAAAATTCTATTTATTGTTTTCCCCAGGTATTATGAAGAACTTATTAATGCAGAAGTGTTGACGCCACTCAATACTAAAGTGGCTGGTATGAAGAGAAGTGAAGAAGGTACCAAGCACTATGTAACTCCACGTGGAATATCATCTATAGTAAAACATTTTATGAAAGAAGCAAATCTCACGGCAAGGTATGCATTTGTATACAGTGAACCCTCACTTTACGCGGTTAATTCAACCCACAGGGTACCGCGGAAAGTGAGAAACGCATAAAGTGAACAACATAACATATGGGATTAATTGAAATAGAGACCGGGCCGACCCCCAAACTCCACTTTTTCAGGCACAATACCTACGTTGTAGTAAAAATAACTTCTTAATTTTATGATGGTATGCACACACAATTAATAATTAAGAGAAATATCAATAATATTAGGTTTTTAACACTTACATTAGTAGAAAAGATGGCTGGGCACACGGGGATGGGGGTTGGTTCCGAGGCAGAGGGCAGATTATTGGCCCTCACCTGTATCACTTGTATCAATTGTATCACTATCCACCACAGAGGCTTGCAGGGCCTCTTTGTCAAACCCCTCAAAGTCCATATAAGTCCATATCCTCACTATAATTATCACTATCACTGACTTGGGCCGGCTGTGGTGGGTGAAGAACTCGGTAATGTTTTGATGACTGGGCGACCTTGTGCGCACCCTGCTTGCGCCGCTTACACAACATGGCGGATGGCGGAAGGTTTGGATCAAAAAATGGCGCGGCTTGCCAGCCGCTTTCCGCGTAAAGGGGTACACGCACCGCGGAATGTGAGCATTCCGGTTTTGGCAGGGTACTGCGTAAACGTGGAAACACGGAATGTGGGACCGCGTAAACGTGGAAACGCGGAATGTGGGACCGCGTAAAGCGAGGGTTGACTGTATTATAAATCAACACTCAATATTGTTTATGTTTTTCCAATTTAAAAACTAATGGTGTTAATAATGTACTGTAGTAAACCCTGAAAGGTAAGTAGATTAAAAATGAATAAAAGTTTAGTGGAGGAATTCATGTTAAGACTTACTTGTGAGGTGTAGTGTTAGTAATCACCTATATATATATATTGACCGATATATTTTATTACCTAATGATCACCACGGCTGCAAGTTCTCACCTTATGATATGCTTTATGGGTTTTCATTAGTTTTAATAAATGTTTTCTTTACGGGAGTGAGGACTGTAACTAATCACGGTTCTAAGGGGTAGCGGTACATGAAGTAAGTCTGGCTTCTGTGTACTGTACTGAATTTCCATATCCATCTTTTGTTAAATATTTTCCAGATTTTCTTTTTTCACAGATTTGATCATCATGTAAGAAGCATTTATATGGATAATGGTAGATGGAGTGTGAGAACTAGTGAAGGTGAGGCTGACCATTTTGATGCTGTGGTTCTGACAATGCCTGTACCACAGATACTGGGATTAACTGGCACTGTTAAGGATGTAATAGGTAATTATAGGAAATTAGACATTTTTGTTTGTCTTTCCTTATTCCGATTTTTTATAATGAAACAAGAATTTGAACATAACAGAATGTAGATAATATAGAGGTTTTTAATTTCTCAAATCTGATATTGTAGCAAAATAAAGATCCAGTGAGTACTTTGTGTAAAATAAAGTGTAATTGTTTCAGTACTTTTGAAATATGACACTTGCAAACAATTGGATGAGATTCATGACTACTGTACCAGGCATTGTTATGTTTTTTTACCTGGAAAATATTGGAAAGTTTTAAGGTGTAACCATGATTTAAGCATTAAGAAGAAATTCATCTTTTCAGAGAAGGATGAAAAACTGCGTTCAAGCTTGCAGTCTGTTGATTATAGCTCCCGGTATGCACTTGGTTTGTTTTACGAGGAAGATGCAAGTATCAGCCTTCAAGATGAAGCAGCAGCACAATATATTACAAATGATTCTATTTTCCGATTTGTTGCTATAGACAACAAAAAAAGAGGCCAAGGTAAATATTCCTCTATTATTAATTATTATTTTTGCCATAGTAACAGAATTGCTTAATAAACTTTAAGGATAATATTTCTCATTATTACCATCACTATTGTATTTTATAATATGGCTACAAGTACTGTATGTCTTTACAGAGAGTATGGCTTCATCAGTCGTTCTACACACTTCGGTGCCATTTGGTAAAGCCCATGTAGAGGAGACGCCTGATCAAGTTAAACCAATACTTCTGAACAATGTCAAAGAAATGTTTCCAGATTGGCCGGAACCAAAATTTGTCAAATGCCAGAAGTGGAGATTTTCTCAGGTATACTGTACAAGGAAGTTATTGTGGGAAAAGATTTTGATGTTTAAGTTGGAAACAGTTCTAACTATATGAATAAGTGGAGTATTATTGTGCCTTCAACTGTGCATATGTTGATCAGTAGTTAACCTCTGTATCCCATTTACAACCCTTAAATGTGATTATCTCATAACTGGGTCTTGGTGAGACGGTCGCTACTATTCTAGACGCCTCGTATCTTGATTGAAAATGGAACACATAGTTTTTTAAGCTGTGTTTGTTTATTTATCTGCCATACTGTACTTTAAGTTATGGTAACCTTTCTATTATATCATTGTTTTAACATGTACTTTTTTGCCACAGGTAACATCAGCATATCCTGGTCTTCCTGGCTGTATAATATTAGCTGATGGACTGGTTGCTGGCGGTGATGGTTTTACACATTCCAACATGGATGGCTGTATAGAGTCTGCAAAATCAATAGTCGCTGCCGTCGTTCAGTACGTCAGTAAATGATGTTAGCATGCTAATAGTCCATTGCTTGGGTTAGTACACTTCAGCAAATTAAGGATTGAACAGTGATGAAGAGAAATATGAGAAGCAAAAATTATAGTACTGTACAGTATAGCTTATAATACAGCATAATGTTACAGTACAGTACCTGTACTTCATTTCTTTGGTAAGTTAATCGAAGTAGATCCTACCCTAAACATTTAAGTTGTGACACCCCTTTATGCAATCACTTAAAATTGTAATATTGAATATACTGTATAATTTATTTAATATACAATACTGTACCTGCCATTTTTATAATACTATAGTAATCTAAACCAATCCTGTTGTCATTGAACTTTTGTAAGAAATGAATTGCATGTATTTGTAAATGATAAAATGTTTTTCCTTTTATAGCCTCGTACAAGTCAATCAAATAATTTCTGAGTTTCCTCCCAAAGTGGCTAGTGAAGGTTGACCTTCACTTATGACTTGTCTATACTTTGAAAAACGCTTAAGTTGATCGGTTAATCCACGCTGTATCTTGAGACTTAATCCACCAACTTGAGTAGAGGAATTTCAACCTTACACTTACTTTTACCAGCCTTTGAGACGGTGACGTGTTGCCTCACTCTCTTAATTTTTGCATGCTAATTTTGTACTGTGCTGTATGTATATTTAAAGACAATTTTAGGCAGTTTGCAGAGATTAAATAACCATTACTTTATGTACATAATCTACACCTCACAGCCTATTGATCACCCACCACCACCACCTTGCATCAGCTAGCTAGCACACCCGTCTACAGTACCTACACCTTTTTTTTTTTTTTTTACAGTAACCATGTAATAATTTTAACAATGCATAAAAGAAATATACAAGACTTGATAATGGATGATTTATTGAGAAGTGTGTCTATTGTGTTTTCTTCACAGCTGGTCGTCAACTGGGGTGGCTTATAATCATGAAAATACTGTACCATTTATATTTTTTACTTCCCTGTTCATACAAGACATGAAATGAGAGGTAATGAACACACACAGGATATACAGTAGTTAAGGATAGAGCACTCAAGGACGTGTGTTATATGCTGTTAAGGAATCTCTGCACAACTAGAGATGTAATGATGTACAGAATAGAGGAGTTTGTGCATTGTTTATTGTGTTGTACAGCTGGAATTACTAATGACTATAGGTGGAAATATAAAGAAAATACTTACTTTGTTTCTTTTTTTTCTTTTTTCAGATAATGTCAAATAGAAGAGATAAAAACAAAATGTAGCTGTTTCCTCTTACTGTAATAAAGCACAAGAGATTGAAGTCTTTGGAATTTTAAATTATGTCAAAATGCAAGAAAGTTTTCCTTTAGTTTATGATGTGTATAAGAAGAATTGACTCATAGTTGTTGTTTATCATTTCACTTTTCAAGAGAGAAGTTAAAAGCATTATTAGTAACCTGCTTAATGGTTGTCTTATTGCCCCATAAAAAGTGCATACTGCAAGGATCATGAATTTATGAACCTTGAGATTAGAAAATTTAGTTCTAAAAAACTCTTGAGAACTCTGAACTCCTCAAGGCTGTATTGAATTATCTTTCCTCAAAAGTGGATTAGTTATTTGCATCTTGCCTTTTGAATAATGAGAAAAAGATTTAATTCTTCTGCCTTGTTTTGACTGGAGTCTAAATAACTCCCATCTTCAAGCCTCCGACCTGATACTATATTGTACACTCACAACTTGCCCTTAATTTTGATTGTGTGAAATGATAGAAACTTGGGTATTGACTTGGCAATCCACCTCAAGAATACACTTTTCTCCCCCTTCACACTCTGACCTAGCATACATCTTTCTGTCCCGCTTGTCAATAGTACCAACCAATCTTTTGGAACTTTTGACATTTCTTCCTAACTTTGGTATGTGCTCCTTGGTTTATGTGTACAGGTTTCTGGGATGTGCCTGAACTAACTGGCTCAGACTTAGATACTGTATGTATTTCCCTAGCAAAAATTTAATATCACCAGTTGCATTTTCCAAGAATCCACATCCATATTGTTCTATAAGTTAGGCCAGTCAATGCTCCCCCACTCTTGTCATAATCACCAATATAATATTTGAACCTCAGCTGCTCTTGTACCATATAACAAATAAACCTAAGGGACAGTGCCACATCATGTCTAGTGTCATTGGGTGGGGGTTATATGTTCTATTGTGACCACCATACCCTCTTCAGTGGTCTTGATGTATGTTTACTTTTTTAGTGAGTTGGATCTATTTAATGTTTTTTTAACGGGAAATTGTCTCTCGGAACTAAAACAAAACAAACTTGCAGTGCTATTAAGTTTGTTCATTATATTTTCAATTCTCCTGTTGATATGACCATAATTGAACCCCCATTACACGGAGGAGACTAAAGTTGAATGCTATTGTACTCTTTATTATGGAAATTATCCCAAACTCCCATTGTTTTAATAAACTACAATTTGGTGATCTGTAAATGCATCTAGCAATTGTGTGTTGTATCTCTTCCCCTTCAGTTTAATCTCACACTACTTCGTCCCTCTCCTGATTAGCTCTAATGTCCATTCAAGAGTAAATAACCACACCCCTCTTACACATTAATGCATCTATTGCCAACACAGCTCTTCTCTAAAACACCAGGAGACTTTTTAAAGATATCCAGTAGTCTGTTGCCTTTATGAACAAAATATATAGTATTCAATCAGAAATTTGAATACACCTCATAAAACTCCCCAAGCCATGATGATAGATATTACTGCTTCAATCTTCAGCCCCACGACAGGAGTTGATCCCCATTTACACACAGACCTCACTACACCCTCAGGTGGTAAATCAATCATGAATTGGAGGAACTTTGGAAGCTGCCGAGTTTTTTTGATGTACTGCAATTCAGTTTTTGGGGTCAAGTAATTATTTTTTCTTCACATTATAAAGTCTTTTGAGAGGTCATATTGAATAAGGATCTAAGAAATTTAAAGGTAATCCCAATTGTTGCTTTAAGGCTGAACCCAAATCAAGCAGATGAGATAGAGTTTAAAAGGGAATACTGTATAAGGAAGAAAATTAATGATATACGGATGAAAGAAGACAGGACTATTAGATGATGGAAGAGGAATGATAAATGTTAATGACAAGACAATGCTATACATGTAAAAGTTAAATACAGTACTGAATAAATAATAAGAGGGCAACATCTCATGGTTGTGTTGGCTACTATTAGTCAGTTGAATTACCTAATTATAAATTACTGTATTATTATTATTATTATTATTATTGATAAAAAATCATACAGTAATAAATGTTGACCCCCATCGTTTATTTATCCCAGTACTGTATATTACTACATGATCTCACCACTTAATAAATCTACTACATGACCCCACCACTTAATAAATCTACTACATGACCCCACCACTTAATAAATCTACTACATGACCCCACCACTTAATAAATCTACAACATGACCCCACTACTTAATAAATCTACTACATGACCCCACCACTTAATAAATCTACTACATGACCCCACCACTTAATAAATCTACTACGTGACCCAACCGCTTAAAAATCTACTACATGACCCCACCACTTAATAAATCTACTACATGACCCTGCTACTTAATAAATCTACTACATGACCCACCACTTAATAAATCTACTACATATTTCATAATAAATCTACTACATGACCCTGCTATGACAAATCTGCTACATGACCCCCTGTGATAAATCACTACATGACCCCACCACTTAATAATCTACTCATGACCCCACCACTTAATAAATCTACTACATGACCCCACCATAATAAATCTACTACATGACCCCACCACAACTACATGACCCACCATAAAAATCTACAACATGACCCCACTACTTAATAAATCTACTACATGACCCCACCACTTAATAAATCTACCATTTACTTAATAATCTACTACATGACCCACCACTTAATAAATCTACTACATGACCCCACCACTTAATAAATCTACTACATGACCCCACCACTTAAATACACATGACTAAATCTACTACATGACCCCACCACTTAATAAATCTACTACATGACCCCACCACTTAATAAATCTACTACATGACCCCACCACTAATAAATCTACTTGTGACCCACCTTAAAAATCTACTACATGACCCCACCACTTAATAAATCTACTACATGACCCCACCACTTAATAAATCTACTACGTGACCCAACCGCTTAAAAATCTACTACATGACCCCACCACTTAATAAATCTACTACATAACCCCACTACTTAATAAATCTACTACATGACCCCACCACTTAATAAATCTACTACATGACCCCACTACTTAATAAATCTACTACATGACCCCACCACTTAATAAATCTACTACATGACCCCACTACTTTACTACATATCCCACTAATTGTTGACCGTATAATTAAATTGACCCCACCACATGTGTTGAACTTACCTTGCTAAGTGAGATGAAATATACCTCATTACTTTAGCGCAATACAGTATTTATATTGGATATGTTTTTTATTTGGGAACTTGACTTCATCCATTGTTTTTTTTTCTCACGGATTAAGAAAATGGTTGGGTGGCTACAGTACAGTATTTTGGACACCTAAAATGTTAGAAAATGAAAAAGAATAATGAAAGATGCCGAGAACAGTGCTGGCGCTCTTCTCACAACCCATACTACCCACACCCCACCTTACCTCCCCACACACGTACTTCCATATATGTCTGAAGAAAGTTTTTTACTTTGAGATTTTATATATATATATATATATATATATATATATATATATATATATATATATATATATATATATATATATATATATATATATATATATATATATATATATATATATAATCATTTAATGGTAATAAATACAAATATCGACCAAGACTTTGGGAAAAATTTGCCACAGACTGTATGGCAGACCTGTAAATGATTACCCCCCTTCAACTTCACTGTAAATTATAATTGAAGTTTTAAATCTGGCAACTGTTTGAAAAATGATAAAATGTCAAACTTTGGAAATTTTACTTGTATATGAGTACTGTTTAAGAAAAGGTAATATAAAAATCAAACTGAATTAATCATATGCAAATTTTATATCATCAGGTAGAAGATAGTTGTTAGTGAACTATTATAGAAATTTGTTTACGGTATATCATTCTGCTCCAGAGTTATAAAACGGTTGCTTTAAAACTGTATCTTGCTCTTGTGAGACCTCACCTGGATTACGCAGTTCAGTTCTGGTCACAGTATTACAGAATGGATATAGAATCCTTGGAAAGAATTCAGACGGGAATGACAAGACTAAACCCGGGCATTAGGAACCTTGAGTATAGAGACAGGTTAAAGCATCTTAATTTGCACTCCCTCGAGAGACGTAGAGCGAGGGGCGACCTGATAGAGGTGTATAAGTGGAAGGCAGGGCTAAACAAAGGGGACATTACAAAGGTACTCAAACTATCCAACTAGGAGCGAACTCGTAACAATGGTTTTAAATTAGACAAATTTAGATTTAGGCGTGAAATAGCTAAACACTGGTTTGGAAACAGAGTAGTGGATGAATGGAACAAGTTACCAAATATAATCATTAACTCGAATACGCTCATATGAGCAATAGGGGTTGGGTGTAAACGGGACTGCCCAGTATGGGCCAATAGGCCCGCTGCAGTTTTCTCCATTCTTATGTTCTTAGGCGTCCGCTTTTCCTCCACTATCCAAGCCACGTTATGTCAGCCTTGGGCGAAGTCTAAAAATAAGTACAATCGAGTGGAGATTACAGAATTACTTTCCTCTACCCAACTGCTGTGTTAACCCCTCAGTCCTATCTCACACTGTTGCTCGAGAAGGTACAGTTGGCTCCACTTCTAGGTTGGTTACTTTAGTGTTGCCAATCCTCTCTCTCCCTGAGGTGTGAACCCCGAACTCAAAAGTGTGAATTCTAAACATTAGTTAGTGAGCGTGAGGGAGAGGGGTGTATCAGGGTAGGTGTCGTTTAGTGCGGAGGAGACGGTATACTAGAAGTGAGGACGTTTTTTAGTTTAACAAATTTATTGACAAAGCTTGGAGTACAGTTTGCTTATTCTGAGTAATTCAGTCAGGTCTTGACACTGAGGGTGGTATCACTTCTCACTGCCATGCAGGACAGAGGTTCGTACACAAAGAAATACATCATATTCATTGACAGTATATATAGGTCAGAGTCATGTGGGTGATGTCACTGTTCACTGCCATGCAGGACAGAGGTTCGTACACAATGAAATACATCATATTCATTAGCAGTATATATAGGTCAGAGTCATGTGGGTGATGTCACTGTTCGCTGCCATGCAAGACAGTGGTTCATATACATTGGACGTCATATTCTAATTGAAGACTGATCAGTGTGGGCTAGCAAATAGCAAGTGAGGACGGAAAGTGTATATCACTATCAGTTGGGTAAGATAATAATGCAGAATAACGCCTCGACAATAACGAAGGGGTTTCCTCAGCTGAGTATAATCGTCTAGCGCTAAACAGACTAACATACTAAAGTTACAATAGGATGAGAGGGATGAATTCATGTTTTTAAGTAAGGTGTTCCTTTGCAAAAGTGGGCATTTATGAGCAAATGGACTTTGGATATGTTTGAATCTATATTTTGCAGAAGCAGCGAAGTTATGTTTAACCCCTTGACTACGAAATGGAACTTCTTCAGCTGAATAAAATCGTCTTGTGGGATATCGGCTGTTAGATAACGAAAAAGACTCCGTGTCCAGGGTGCTTCCTAACACTACATTAAACTCCTAACAGTAGCTGGCAGCTGGTGTTCTTGCCCTCAGGGTCCTGGTAAGAGTATCGTGTCAATGTCCCCAGGAAAGTGGTGGTGTGTGGCGGCGGTGGTGTGGATAATGTGGATGATGATGTACCACCGCCTGGCCTTCACCACCACCTGGAGGCCCTGGCACCACCTGGCCTCCAACATCACCTGGACACTTCAGCACCACCTCCCACCCAAGCAAACCTTCACACGCAGTAACACGTCTCACGCAACGTTTACCAAAGAGTGTTACACTTACTCAGGAGTCACAGCTCGTAACACCTGCTGTAAATTGCACGACTACAGGGACGGTCTAGACCTTCTGAACTGTATTAAAAGTTCTTATGTTGATCACGTCCTGCATCAGAGGTAAGCTGGGTGTTCGTCTCCTTACGCAAGTCATTTTTCTTTTATACAAACATTGAATGATGACGTCATATTTCACTCTAGTTGATAAAATAACACAAACGTCGGAGAGTGATCTTTGAGGTAATTTAGATTTCTGAAAATTAGAATTATTAATCTCAGTGATAACTGCCCGACTGCTCTATTCCTTTTTGTAAATAGTTTTGTACTCACCAAACACAAGGTAATTGATACAGCAACCGGGGAACGCGTAGTAAACTTTGAGATCAACACCAAATTTACGTATGTCAGGTGACCTTATTTCTAATTCTTGTTCTCACTCCGATATATATGAATGCATCAAGAGTAACAGATTCTGGTTGTGCTGTAGACAGAATATGTCCGAGGTCGCAGAGTTGTCCTGGTTCAGCATGATCTCTCAGGCCAAGGAGCGAGTCAACGCGGACTCAGTCCACCACAGCACCGAAGGTGTTCACTGGGCCTTGGTGGGCGACTCTCACGTCCGATACATCACAGATGTTATCATACGTCGCCTGGCCACCACTGGTCTACAGTATACTGAACGCAGTTTCGAGGTAACCATTAGCTCATTGTTAAACTTTCTGACAGTTGACGCAGTAAATATAAAAACAAATAAGATTGGAGAAAGGTGTGTGAATGACGTACTACCCAGGAGCCGATGTGTTATAATGACTAGTGAGAGTGTGTGTGTGTGTGTGTGTGTCACTGTCACGAGATGTGGACTAATTCATCAATTATATATACTTACAACTTCAAATTCTTTGAATGATACACTGGGATGAATGACACAGACGTTCCACCAGTTACGAGCACAAAGGATGACATGAGGACGGTGGGTGTAGCGTATGACTCGTCGGTTAACAGATCAATTATATATTTATGTGGACTTATTCTAACTAAAATAATTGTCAGACAACTTTGATATTGAAACAGTTTATTTAGCCAAAATAACAGATACAGCGTCGATTAAAAAACTCATAATATTAACATGGCTGAGCCAGTTGAGAGACCTGAGTTTTCTTATAGGCACCTGTACATTTATTTCAAGGAAGTATTTTATAACATTTAGTAAACTCAAGTCCTTTGATTTTCGTTTACTGTCTCTGTGTTTGGTTCATTTTGCTGACACCATTATTAAATTGCTTTCGTGATAGTGGTAATGTGTACGTCCTTTGTTGTTCATCCTCCAACTTGTAATTCGAGATTCATCCTCCGTTAGCCCCCCCCCCTGTCATCTCTCTTTGCGTAGGTCCCTCTCTGTTCTCGCTTGAAAATGAGATCCTTTAGTTCCTTCATAACAAACATGAATATAACTTTGTAAATTACATTCTCGTTAGTTTTCTCTAACTTTTAGTATAAGTTTACTAAAACAAATTCCATTCTCGAGTTTCCAAGTTATTATTTCTTCCCTTCCTTATATGCCAACTGCCAAGCCTCCACTCACGTTTAATTATGCTTCTGAAAAACTTGTCCAGGGTGTATGGCACGAGGTGTACAAGCTCCTCAACTTGATGCGCATGAGCGTATATACTGAGGATTTAGAAGTTCGTCATATGGTGGTTCCCTTTTACCTGACCTGGTACCGGGACACCTTCCTGCAGCGACTGCCGGAGCTGATAAGACAATGGGAGGCAGGGGAACAGCTCAAGCCAACACTTCTCATTCTTGGTTAGATCATCTGTGTCCTCATTTGGCGTGGCTGATATTATGTCTGTCTGAATTTAAACACTCGAGATATATACAATCAAACTATCATACTTCTTGGCAAAATATGGTACAACTCCACCAATGCAATATATATTTATGATCATAATAAAAAAAATTTCATTGTCTTCCCGGCACAGATTGTGGTCTTCATTGGATGGTAAGAAGTCATAAGATTTCAATGGAGTTGGGAGAGGAGGCAGCGGCGGTGCCTTATAAGGAGCAACTGAGGTCTCTGGCGCCCCAGCTCACCCGTCTGGCCGCCACCACCACCATCATCTTCAAGCTGCTGGATGACATACCAGTTAGTTTACTGATCCACGTCTCTCTCTCACTGTCCTACACTTCCTGTCATCTACTGACCTGCACACCCCCTTCCCTATACACATATTATTGCATTAACCTGCACCTCCTAGAGTCGACTAACCGGTACATCCAATGACGTGTAAACCTACGGTATACACCTCACAATGGAATGACGTGGCGTCAGGGCCGGTGCAAGATGATTTGGCGCCCTAGGCAAGCCTTTAGATGTGCGCCCCCTTGAAAGTTTTGATAAGCTAATGTGTGTACAGTAACCCATGACTACATTGTTTTCATCTTGTGGCTTTATTACTTCACCCATGCAAATAACCAATTATTGTTATTACATTAAGTCAATAAATCCTTGACGTAAACTTCAGAGGTCAGGTAACCTTGCCTCATCCCGACAAAGACAGGGAAGGGGCGGCTCAGCCGCCCTGGCAGTAAGGGAGGGGAGGGGATGGTTGGGTTGGGAGAAGGGTTCCTCAGATGTCAGCCTTCAGGTCACTGCTCGACAGTTCTCCAGGCCGCCAAAGATAAGGACCCGGGTTAGTCCCTCCGGGGGGTTAACGAATAATATTAAAAAAGAAAACACAGTCGGCTACCGTCTACCTACCCTCGCCTCCCTCCGACCCCCCACCCTTCTAACATCCTGCTCCGACCCTCCACGGCTCCACCACAGTGTCCACCACAGTTTTCCCTTCATTTTTAATTTTATCCAAGTTTGCCCTGAATTTGTGGCGCCCCCAGATGTTGGCGCCCTAGGCGATCGCCTAGTTCGCCTAGTGGGTAGCGCCGGCCCTGCGTGGCGTGATTCTGTGCGGTACAGTAAATAAGATACAATTACTAATGTAGTGGCGCTCTTATGAGAAGCCTTACATCAGGTGACATTAACCTTGGTGTTTCCTTCTCCAGATAAGACGTACTAGCACTCTACCCCCACCCCCCCCTCCCTCCTCCCAACCGTGTATGACCTTGACTGGGACACACCTCCTTTTCTGCACTAAATTCTCGTCATAAAGACTCGCTCTCCCTTGTATCTATCACCCGACAGTCCGAGAAAACTTTGACGTATATCGGAGAATAAGAACGTGTTGCTGGACATTATATTATCCCTATTGTATCTCTTTAATTTTGGTTTGAGTTGTAAAGTTAGATCAAACTGTTTCCCTTTTTTTTCAGGAAAAAAATTACTTTACCGAGTTTTTATTTTTCCTCCCTCAGGCTGTCCATGGCTCACACTCCGACAAAAACTGGCTTACCCTCAAGAACCTACAACTATACAACTCCATAGTGAGAGAGTCGTTGGAGGGGACAGGGGTGATCCTGTGGGACAGTACACTCCCTCTCTCCCAGGCCTACACGAGCGAGTGTGTTCTGAGGCCCAAGTCGTTGTTTCCATCTTACTCGTGGAAGTGTTTTGACGAGAATCATGTGGGATACATCGTGGTGGAGCAGTACGCTGATATGATCCTTAATGATGTTTGTAACAAGTACATGAACCTTAAACCTGAGTACTGTCCATAGTGAGCTTATTACTATCACACTAAGATATATACAGGGGTATATTGTTCCTGTGGCTGAGTAACTCGTCACCAAACATACATGTTGTACATTTTGGCAACTGTGGAAGATCTTCAAGTAGAACACGAGCACACTTACCCAGGAACACCGTGGGTCTCTATCACAACAGCAGACCGGAGGGTTATACGTACTTACTGGAGTTGTGAATGACGCCTTATAATAATTGTGTGGGGGATGGTGGGAGGAGCCTCGCACTGTGTGGGGGATGGTGGGAGGAGCCTCACGTTGTATGTGGGGATGGTGGAAGGAGCCTCACGCTGTGTGGGGGATGGCGGGAGAAGCCTCACACTGAGTGGGGGATGGTGAGAGGAGCCTCACACTGTGTGGGGATGTGTGGGGGATGGTGGAGGAGCCTCACACTGTGTGGGGGATGGTGGAGGAGCCTCACTGTGTGGGGGATGGTGGAGGAGCCTCACACTGTGTGGGGGGGTGGAGGAGCCTCACACTGGGGGATGGTGGGAGGAGCCTCACACTGTGTGGGGGGATGGTGGGAGAAGCCTCACACTATGTGGGGATGGTGTGTGGGATGGTCCTCACACTATGTGGGGGATGGTGATGAGGAGCCTCACACTGTGTGGGGGATGGTGGGAGGAGCCTCACACTGTGTGGGGGATGGTGGGAGGATGGTGGGAGAAGCCTCACACTGTGTGGGGGATGGTGAGAGGAGCCTCACACTGTGTGGGGGATGGTGGGAGGAGCCTCACACTGTGTGGGGGATGCTGGGATGCACAAGACAGGATTATGTAATATAATGGCGATCAGTCACGTCTCTGTTACGCACTGTTGGCAAGTACTGGGCATGCACCGGCTCCTAAATGTACCTGAACCTGCTCCAGTGTTGGTCAAGTCTGGTCTTGAAAGAGCTCCCACTCGGTGCCGTCCCAACACTTTCCAAGAGTTAACAACTCTCACTCCGAAAAAGTTTGCCCTCACAGTTTTCCGTACCTGCGGGCTTCTTCAATCTTGAGCTGTGACCCCTTGTGGGGCGAGCGTCCGCAGCTCCAATTAAGGACACTCGACTGAGTAGTGCCCCTTGAGATGCTTACACACCTCAATTAGGTCGCCCCTTGCTCGTCTGTAGTATAAGCTAGGCAAGTTCAGGCGCTCCAATCTCCCAGGGTAGTTGAAGTGCCGAAGGGCAGGCACCAGTCTGGTGGCCCTCCTTTGAACATTTTCAACCAACTGACAGTCCCGAGCATATCTCGGGGACCAGATGGGGTGACAGTACTCCAGATGGGGAAGCACTTCACTCCTGAAGACCGTCTAGATATCTGAACGACCTTCTTATAAGACCCAATAATTTATTTGCCTGATTTACCTTCTCCTCGCAATGGCCCGAGAATTTCAGCTCATTGACAACATACACACCTAGGTCCTTCTCACATTCAGTCTCAAATAATGCAGTTGTGTGAACGGGAAGTAGTCAGAAGTCTAGCATTTTTGTAATAAACCTTTTTTATTGTATGTTAGGGGTATTATTTTCCTGCAATGACCACCTTTATTTTCTTCCCCATATCTTGGTACCATTATTTTAGTTCCACGTGTCTGCCCTCGAGCCATGCTGCCACAGGTCCGAGTTAAGACAGAGGGAGTACAGTAACAAAAGGTACAAGTAAGGTCTCTCTCCCACCGTTACAACTGCAACACGGTAGAGTTGTTGTATAAAAACGTGAACGTGAGCTGTAAGTCTGAATGTATGTACCGTCTTCCACTGTACTATTCATGCAATAATTTATACGTAAATGAGTAAATACTATTCTAACATGCATGACTTATCTAAACCTCAAGAAAACATCAATAAGATTCCCACCCAAAATCAGTAGTGAGGGCTTGAGTTGTTCGCCTGCCTCCCACTGCTCTATCAACTTGGGCAGCTTGAGTAGACGCACATCACAGTACTACCAGGTAATGAAGAAATAAATCATTAAGTGACAAACTTCATTATTTTCGTGGATACTGTGGACACGCATCACGTTCAGCAGGTGGTAGATCTTCCGCCACTCGCCCTGTCAAGTTGATGGCGTACAGGTAACTCCAGGTACATCTTCATATTTAAAACCTTCTATTTCATCCACGTGATTCATAGTTTACCTTGAGGCTGGGCAGAGTGTACGAGAGGTCGGAGGTGGCAAGGAGGCGCAGCAGGGGATCAAAGATATATCATAAATGCGAGTCCCCGACGAAGACCCAGTGGAGGCCTCGGGTGGATGGAACTGTTGTTGAGAGACGTTAGCCTATGATAGCCAATCGTTCCAGTATTCCTCGGATAAATGGAACGACGGAGGAGGAAGATCTTTACTGGAACATACATCGATAGATATGTTAGAGAGAGAGAGAGAGAGAGAGAGAGACGTCACCCAAGCCAGCTCTTATAGATCTGATAGAAATATGTTTCTGATTTAAAATAACAATAATACTGATCCCCAGAAACAATTAGACAGACAATACAGGAGCATCAACATTTCTAGAGCTGTAACAATCAATGAGAATCCACTTAAGTTATCCAGATAATCACCAAAACAACGTAAAGCTTATGGTTATTGAAAGGCCAGCTTGATAAAATTTTTGTTAGTGTTACAGAAGCTACCATGGGTTGTCTGTTGACGCTGCGGGGAAATCAGTGTGGGGGTTTTTTGGTGAAAGAAACGATAGATTTCATTCACCTGTAATCTGGAAAGTGATGATGGTGGGAATTTTTAATACAGTTCAGAAGGTCCAGACCGTCCCTGTAGTCGTGTAGTTTACAGCAGGTGTTACGAGCTGTGACACCTGAGTAAGTGTAACACTCTTTGGTAAACGTTGCGTGAGACGTGTTACTGCGTGTGAAGGTTTGCGTGAGTGGGAGGTGGTGCTGAAGTGTCCAGGGCCTCCAGGTGGTGGTGAAGGCCAGGTAGTGGTACATCATCGTCCACACCACAGCCGCCGCACACCACCACTTTCCTGGTGACATTGACAAGGTCACCAGGACCCTGTGGGCAAGAGCACCAGCCTGTGCCAGCTACTGTCAGGAGTTTACTGTAGAGTTAGGAAGTGCCCTGGACACGGGGTCTTTTTGTGCCCTGGCTTAATATATGTGCGTACTAGTCACATCCCCCACCCCTCCACCCCCCCACCCACGAAGAAAACAATATTTAGTGTCTGTCATGTCAATATTTACTACTCTCACAGTCTAGCGTATATGTATGAGTGTAAATGTATGGTGTCACGTTAGTACACTGCCTGGGTCTCTCGGTAAGTGTGTTCCTTACAGAGACCAGGCTGTTGTGCTTGATCAAATGGCCTGTCTCCTCCCTCCCTCATCACCTCTGTGTGTGTGTGTGTGTGTGCGCGTGTGTGTGTAATAATAAAAATAATAATAATAATTAACGGTTTATTGAAAGAGCTTGGCAGCCAGAAGGCTGAAAATATACAGTTACATATTTGGGGAATGGGTTTCGAATTACAAATAATATACAAGTAACATAAGTGATACAAATAAGATATATAATAACTAGATGGGGAAAAGCTCAAACTACAGTGCATTTCAACATAGTGACAGTGCAAGAAGTAGTATTTACTGGGAGTGAATACACTGGTTTATTACAAGTTATTGATAATTTTTACAATGGTTGGGACTGGGCTGTTCTTATAGCGATCAGTTCGTGCACGTATGGGCTGGATGCGGTTGTGGTGTCGAACAGCAATTCTCGGACTAGGGATCTCAGGTGGTAGTAGGAGCCGGTGTCGGGATGGTGTAGAAGCTTCTTACCAAATTTGCAGATGAGGTCGTGGTGATGGTCAGTGAGAATCGAAAGGGTCAGTGTGTTGAGCGCTTCTTGATATGTGGAGTAGGAAGGGGAGAGAATAATCTTGCATGCCCTCTTTTGCACTTTTTCTAGGTGTTTACGTTGTGTGGCATTTAGGGAGGAAGACCAGGTAGGGGAGGCATAGGTGAGCTTGGGAAGTATGAATGTTGTGTAAACACTGAGGAGCTCGGGTGCAGGAACTCCGAGGGACTGAAGTCGGCGGAGGAGGTGGAGACGGAAACTGGAGGATTTGACAACTTCACTGACGTGAGGTTTCCAATTTAGTTTGTTGTCGATGGTGACGCCGAGGAGCTTCGTGGAATCTACAACCTGGAGTGTGTTCGGACCTAAAGTAATGGAAGGAGGTGGGACAATGTCGGAGGAGAGGTTGATGTGCAAAACCATGGTCTTGGTATGGTTGATGGTGACATGGTTGTTGGTGGCCAAGTTTTGGAGACTGTTCAATAAATCCTGAAGGGCGGTATAGTCGGGAGCAGAATTGTTGACGCTGATCCCAATGGTGGAGTCGTCGACATATGCGTTTGCGTGGGTGTGTGTGTGCGTGGGTGTAAGTATTCGTAAATAAATAGTGTGTTCGTATCTTATAAAGAGTTAAGACAAAATAAATTGTTAATAATGACAAAAATATTATTAGTGTTATTACTTTAGTGCTGAGAGCAAGAGTAACACACACACACACACACTATACGTGGCAGACTAAAAATAAACTTCATAGCAATGTTTCCTGCACATTGTAGGTCGCAAGAGGGCGTCATCTACCATTCTGTATAAGTGTTGTATATATATGTGTGATTATATATGGGTGTGTGTGTATCATATGGGTGTGTATTTTTGTGTATGAGTGTGTTTGTATGTTTGTGTGTATATGTGTGGATATGTATAAGTGCGTATATATGTGTATGTACGAAGAAGGTGCCAACAACCAGGTGAGTAAGTGGACGTGTGAGAAAGTAGCGTCACGTATACCTGGAGAAACATGAGACAGGTGTTAATTTATGTCACACAGGTAGAGAAAGTCAGGGTAATTACAGGAAGCTTAAGGAAAGTAAAGTGTGGATAGCTGAGTTGGTCAAGGTAAGACTGTGTTGTGATTACCTGTGTGTGGGAGAGGGTGATTACCTGTGTGGGAGAGAGTGATTACCTGTGTGTGGGAGAGAGTGATTACCTGTGTGTGGAAGAGGGTGATTACCTGTGTGGGGGAGAGAATGATTACCTGTGTGTGGGAGAGGGTGATTACCTGTGTGGGGGAGAGAATGATTACCTGTGTGTGGGAGAGAGTGATTACCTGTGTGTGGGAGAGGGTGATTACCTGTGTGGGGGAGAGAATGATTACCTGTGTGTGGGTGAGTGTGGGAGAGAATGATTACCTGTGTGTGGGAGAGAGTGATTACCTGTGTGTGGGAGAGGGTGATTACCTGTGTGGGGGAGAGAATGATTACCTGTGTGTGGGAGAGGGTGATTACCTGTGTGGGGGAGAGAATGATTACCTGTGTGTGGGAGAGAATGATTACCTGTGTGTGGGAGAG